TCTTTTCGTGTTTTTGTTTGCGGCAGTAACTTGAGTCTGAAGATGAGGCTGAGGATGCAACCCAAGGCAACGGCAAACTACTTGGCGCCTCCTCTCGACGCGTCACGCCTCCTTCACCATATCCTCCTACTCTGCTACCAGCTGCCCCCCTGTGCTCTCTCCCCCTGTGTTTAGGAGAAGGCCAAATGCAAGCTGCTTGAGAAAAAGGGAAAAGTTCAAAGTGTAGGACGGCGCGCCATACAAATCAAAATTCAATGTAAGAAAAGCCCCCCCCCCCCCCCCCACACACACACACACATACATTCAGTGTAATTTTTGTATGGAAATACAGGTCGGCATTACGTATACGCCGTGTTCCCAGCAATTAAAGGCGAACTTAGCGACCGTTGCCATTGCTGTTGCAGCTGTTTGCCGCTGTCCTTGAGCGCCTTCTAATTGAGGGCACTGCACTCGGTCTGCGGTGACCCCAAGGCACACCCCCCCGTGCCACCGTCACCGCCAGCACCCTTTGTGCCACCACAAGTTTTTTGCCACATGTTTCAACCCTTTCATTATGCCCTTCGCATGCAGGATATGTTGATTTTTGCTAGATGTTGATGATGGTGGTGCATAGAAGGAATAATAGCAGGGGGGTCGGCATTGCTTGTATTGAAACCATTTTGTATTGCAGCACCAGGAGTTATATTAATAGCAATTAATGGGCCAAAAACCTAATATTGTTTGTGAATTTTTCTATATTCTCAAAGTGGATCGAGTTGATCCAAATGGAAGCATATATCCACCAATAAAACAATCGATCTTTGAGGGTATTTAAATCTTCGACTTTCAAACGAAAATCCTTTCCTTTCGTGTTGATGTTTTGTTTTTGTTTAACAGCTGTTTAGCTGTTTAGCTGTTTCGCTGCTCCCTGCGCTCCCTTTCTTTTTATGTGAGAATTGTTATATGTATTTGATCCTTTGTGTGCATGTGTGTCTGTGTGTGTGTGTGTGTGTGTGTTGTGTGTCCGCTTCCGTTGAGGGCGCAACATGCAAAGGCAAATGAATCAAATTTCTTGGCTGTGTTCGTATTTGTGTTTGTGCTTCTTGTGCTTTATTTGCATGCAACGCAGACGTGCAGGGGAGTGGGTGGGTCGCTTAACAACAGTTCAAATGCAACTGTATGCCTGGCACAAACACACACATACATTAGCACCCAGAGCTCACACACACACACACACACAATTACATCAAAAAAGTAGGTTAACTCGTTTTTACGGTTACATTTTTGTAGAAAAAAATACACGAAAGGTATAAGAAAACGCACGCTTTTCTGAAGGAAAGTTGAAAGAAAGTGCAGGCGGATAAAGTTCGATGGTCATGAAGATTCACAGGCATACATACATATATGTATATAATTAGTGCAGTGAGTAGTGATCTAAAATGGTATCATCTACTAGTTGTATCTATTGTAGCTAGCAGCTGCTTAATAGTGTTAGATTACCGTGCGCGAACCGCTATGTTGATGGTATGGAGATACAAAGAAGTTGTATATAAATAAGAATATATGTCTTGGATGGTATTTCTGCAAATAAAACCTTTAATGCAAAGGATGCTCCTGCTTTTCTATACCTCACATCTTATGCCATAATTTTCTTTTTCAATTAATGGCATCTTCATTCTTGTGCATTTTGTTGGATACCCTTTATAAAAAGTCCTTTTTTATTTATTATAATTATTTATTTTTTTTATTTTAATATTTCCTATAAATTCCATCAATCTGTACTGCCAATTTAAAACTATTTTTCTTTGCAATACACAGCTAAGATTCTTGGACTCTCATTATCTTGGCATATCTTTTACTTTGCATTTTCCCATAATCCGAGTACTCGGCAATTATTTTGCTATATTCATAGGATCCTCTGATACTAAATAACCTTACAATTAATTTGCCAAAAAATCAGTTATAGTAATACCCACAGAAATCATAAACTTCTCTTATCCTCCAACTGTTTCCATTTCCCCATTTATTTTGCATTGAGCTAATCAAAAGAACTCTCGAGTGCAAGCAACTCCTTCAACTTCTAGAAAACAGCAAATTAGATGAGAAAATATCACTCCTTATCCTCATCCTTCTTCGCAACCCCCTCCCATGCCACCCATTGACCCCTATCCAAGCTGCAGAGCTGCATGGAAATTGAGAAACTGGGACAAGTGGACGACACTGAAGAGTCATCGACAAGATGTGGAGGAGAACGACCACCTGGCCGGGTCAAAGGCCACGGGGCAAACAATGGAAAAAGTGGCAGAAGCAAATAATGATTCTCCTTATCATTGTATTGTACCCCTCCCTTCATGACTCACCTTGAGTTGAGATTTCCTCTTGAGAGCGGCAATTGAACGGGTTTGCTGTCGTAGAACCTCCAGTGCACCGTTGGCAGTGACGTTAGCAGCGACGTTGACGTTGACTTCGACAGCGACAGTAAGTTCAAAATAATTTCAGTTTTTGAGTTTTTTCCTTTTGTATTCACTTTTCGAATATTCGAATATTCCTGCCAAAAACTGTAATTGACGGAAGAGAAGCGATTTTTGAGGCACGAATCCAATTTGTTTAAACTCTCACGAAATCAGATTTTGTTTTCATATTTTTACATTTCTTTTGGTTTTCGAGAAATACTCTAGCCAGAGAAGGGTATAAATAGCTGGGATATCCAATTTATAGGCGACTTGAGAATAGGCTGAATGGGCGTATAATTAAAACGAATTTCAAGGGTAAATTTAGAGGAACGAAAAATTAAGTAATGTTTGAACTAATTGATTTGTGAATGAAACGAATGGGTAAAGCATGGGATGGCTGAAATATATTGTAGATGATAGGTAGGATTGTTGGGAGATTGCTGACGGGAGGATTGGAATATAAATCAGAACTGAACCAAAACAAATTTTAAATGAATGAATTTTGTTTATACTTGGGGTAAGATTAGAGGGATTAATGAAATATTAAATTGGGTGTTTAGTAAATCAAAACCATGAGGATTTAATGAGATGGAGTATGAAGAAATACATTATATAATTCCGTAAATAAAGGTTAAATAAATATGCAATAAATGGGAACTATGTTGCTTTGAAAGCCTCCCCCCCGTTCTGGCAAGAGCATCCCACGTTCGGGGTTCCGCTCAAACTTCCGTCAAACATTTTCCCCTTTACACTTCGCTTTGCTTGTTTATGAGTGTGCCTCTCGAGGAGCGGCGCGAAAACGATGAAAAACATTTCGTTTGAATTATAAACAATTAGCATTGCAAATCGCTTTTCAATATTTTCATTTGATTTTCATGATTCCTTTGTTTTGGCTTTAATTACACGTTTGGACGTTTTGAATGGTTCTTGTTAACGTTTAGTTCATTTAGCTGGTTAGAATATCTCACTTATTTTTGAAATACTATATTCGGGCAACATTCCATTTCTCTTTCACTGCGAATAACCTTGCACAAATTGGAAATTGTTAAAGCAGCAATCAGTGTGGGTTAAGAGGGCCGGGGGCTGCATATTTCCGTTACGTGCAGTGCAACCGGAAGTCCCACACACACAACCACACACACACAGGCACACTCGAGTGCAGGGGAATTTTTTGTTCGCTGTTGGTATTCGTAACTTTTCAAGAGGGTGTTTGACCCATAAATGAATTTATGCCAATTTAGAAGGGCTAACTAACACCATCGTGCCTCCCCAGGGGAGGCTCGAAATTAAAGCCAGAGGGGGTCGTGCCCCATGAAGGGTGATGTGGGGGGGCGTTGGCTAACCAATTAAAACATAATTTTTTTTTATTGTGGAATGGTTGCTTGTTTGTGCCCCAGTCGGGGGTCCCTGGCACCATGAGCAAACAGCATTTTCGTAGCAACATAACCGGATATATTTGTGCAATTATTTTAATGGCAAGCGACGCCCACACACACACACACACACACACACACACACACACACACACACACACGAGCGGAGATGGAGAGTGAAAAAGCCAGGGACCGAGGCAAGCCCATTTTTCATTAGAATTTTACTTTTTATACCCCCCTCTCCGCTAATGCCTGCCAAAATAATGTTTTTTTTTTTCACTTTAATAATTGGAAATATATTTCTACCCGTCGCTGTTTTTCTTCAATTTATTTCTATGTGTAGTTGGCGCGTTTTCCTCTCGCCGAGTTTTCCATGTGCCTTGGCCAGCTGTCGACTTGCAACTGGCCCCAAAAACAGAACGGAAAGCACGGAATGGCTAGAACTGCAAGGACTACCACGAACATTGCAGCGAAGACGAAGCATCGCCACGAAGAGTCGGTCGAGGCAGGGGCTGGCGTGACTGAGGGGGGAATGTCCATTAATGAAAACTCAATGAAAACGGAAAGCCGGCTGCATGCGGCGCAAAGCGCATGTGTGCTGTAGTAAACGGTGGCAAGGATAATGAACTTTGTGTCACCAGGTCATTGTACAAAAGGGGGGTGAGGTGGCAGGGGGAAGCTGCATGCAGCAAATAATAATAATAATCAAGTGAAATATTCCTTTTATTCAGGTATTTCTAGACTACGTTTATTTTTAACTGATTTTGCATGGCAAATACTGCTCCAATATTTGCAACAAAAACACTTATCATGAGCGGTCACCAGAACTATCGTAGGAAATCCATCACTGAGCGCTGATCAAGTTGTACTGGTGAACGCGCTCAATGTTACGGAACAATTGAAAGCGACGAAGCTTAAAATTAAATTTGTAACGGATTAATGACGGATTTTAATTCAATCTACAAGAAGTTTTTTGAAGTGTTTCACTGTAACAGAATAAATATGTAAGTCATATACATATGTATGTACAGACGGAAGATGAAGGTCAATTTTGTAATTTTTTTTGTATTTATTTTGATTGATCAATATTAATATTATTAAAATTATTTATAATAATAATTAATAATGTAATAATTATCAAATCATTTTCGTAAAGAAAATTAAATAAAAAGTTGAATTTCTACAATATTATATAGCCACTATGTATTGCAATTATTTGTTAATGGAAAATTTGACAGCGAAAGCAAAACGGTTCTGCGAGTTTCCAATCTACGTCACAGTTATGTTTTAAAAGTTTAAAAGTAATAAGGTAGAAAATATATAATTTTTAAGTCAACCATAAACATTACCAAGTTAAGAAAGAGTTCCATAGACTTGGAAGACAGCTCGATTGATGTTTTCTGAAGAGAAACGGTATTCCAACATGTAGTCACCTTCAGGAAAGGGCAAAATCTCTGTTATCTGATGATTGATAAAGCTGGTAGGCAGCTTATCCACAAACATAACACCCTGCAGGAGAATCGGTATTAGAAAGATGTAGAATCTGATCGTGCTGGAAGGATCCACAGCTTACGTGGTAGGGACATGAGTGGTTCAAATTGGTGTTCGTTCCAAGCAAACCAAGTGCGTAAAGTGCGACTGGATTCGACCTACGATATTTCATGAATCTACAGAAATCGATAGTGATATTGTAGAGAAATGGCTTGTATCCATTTGCCCGTTTTAGCATCGCCCCATTTACCTAAGATAGGAGAATATGAGATTCAATTTCTTCATAATAAAGTACTCGCATACCATAACATTGGTAACTAAGGGTTTAAGTAAGTTCACTTTTATACTAAGATATTTGTAGGTTCGATTTATCGACTTCAAGTAACATTGATCCACAGCGCAGTACTCCTTATCCACACAATCGCATTTGATGTTGGTAAACTCTACTCTAGATAAGATCTTGGAAACATTTTCACTAATTAAAGGATCACTATGACATGTTATCTAGTTGAAACATACTTCAGTGATCGAATAAAAGATCACAAAAAGAGAGAGCCAGTTCAGCTTAGGCCACATGTTAAGGTTTTGATGGTCAAACAAAAACTAATACCATTTTGAACGCTTTTCGGAAGGTGGTTTTTGGGAATGTATTTATGAATAATTGCTGATCGTTAAAGGTATTTTAAAGCAAGCAATTAAATATGCGTGTAAGTTATCAATATGTGATCGATCACTAAAGCGGTTGATTGGCGGTCAATGATGTGCCGCAAAGGGTATAACTATATATGTATATATAACTATATATGTGATAAGAACTTGCAGCTCGCTCCTTAAATACACTAATGGAACATTCTTCGAATGTGAAGAAAATTATGATTTTATGTCCTTTTAAGAAAAGTGTCACAATATTCTAAAAAAAATTCTAAAGTATAGGGAAACGCCAGCAATACGTATGATGGATGCATCAAAACCTTAACATGTGGCCTAAGCTGAACTGGCTCTCTCTTTTTGTGATCTTTTATTCGATCACTGAAGTATGTATCAACTAGATAACATGTCATAGTGATCCTTTAATTAGTGAAAATGTTTCCAAGATCTTATCTAGAGTAGAGTTTACCAACATCAAATGCGATTGTGTGGATAAGGAGTACTGCGCTGTGGATCAAGTCAGAATATACAATTCCAAGCGCTAGAAAAACATACAATTATATATGTATTGTGTGTTACACGTCATGAGCCGAACGCGCCGAGTGCATTAGATCGATCCCTGAGCCGAAGACCCTGGGATCATCCGCAGAAAATGTCGTGTCGACCTTTCGCTTGTTACCATATGTATATGTACACACATATGTATATGTACATCTATGTACATCTATGTACATATATACTGTATGGTTAGTACCAATACTAAAATATCAGAGTGACCATTTATCGTGTTTTGGTATATTTTCAAGTCTAAATTGAGGTGACGGTATTTTTGAGGTATTTTTGTATATAATAGGAAATTGCATCCATTTTCAATCTGCGGTCACACTGCTGCATAAAATGGACAAATGTTTTTGTTTGGCGGTTTAAATGGAAAATAATACGAATTTGCGGCCAGAGGACGCGGCCAACGGCAAGTTCAAGTGCTGCTTCGACAACTGCAACTACGAGACCGACCGTGCCTACAACAGGTGGCGTCATGAGGCGAGCCACTCGAAGGTGGATTTCGAGGGACGGGAGTTCAAGTGCCATCTGTGCTGGTACAGCTCAGATAAAGCGTGCAACATAAAGAGACACCACCAGAACCGACATCCGGGCTGCGAGGCACCGGCATACAAATCTTCGAAGCCGGCATCTCTCGTCTGCGACGTGACGGGATGCACCTACTCAACGAATCGTCCGTATGACATGAAGCGCCACATCCAGGTGCACAACAATCCAGCGAGAGGCGACAAGTCGTTTAAATGCCTGCTGTGCACCTACAGCTCGGAGAGGAAGGGCAATCTGCAGCGGCATCTGGACCTGAGGCACAGTGGCCTGAGTGGGAAACACACCTCAGACGAAGAGGAGCCGGAGCCAGAGCCGGACGAAAGTGTGGTGTCGATTGTACCGTTTGAGCCGAATGTGCCCAGATTCCGATATTCATGCGCGCTGTGCAGCTACAGCTCCAAACGGAAGGAGAATCTGGCTCGGCATCTGGAGCAAGAACACAAAGGCATTAGTGGCAATGAGTCGTCAAATGATGAGGAGGCGAAGCCGGACGTACTGCAGAAGGTGCAGCAGGAAGTACTGAAGAAGGTGAAGCGGGAAGTACGGCAGAAGGTGAAGTTGGAAAATCGGCAGAAGCCCAAGCCGACTGTCAGCCATAAATGCTCGCTGTGCAGCCAAAGCTTCAAAAGAAAGGCGAATCTGGAACGGCATGTGGATGCAGTGCACAATTGCCCCAGTGACAAAGAGTCGTCACCTGAAGAAGATGCAGAACTGGAGCCAGAGGAGACAGGAGACGTACGGGAGCCTATGAAACCGTTTGTGACCATCCATACATGTTCGCTGTGCAACTATAGCTCGAACAGGGAGCCGAATCTGAGGCGGCATATGGATCAACGGCACCGTGGCGTGAGCAGAAAAGTGGTCTCATATCCAAAAGAAGAGCTGCCGGAGCCGGTCAAAGGGTCAAAGGGCAGCTTTGGCGCGGACAGAAAGTCAACTCTGAGGCCGCGACGGAATGTGCGATACAGTGGCTTGAGTGACGTCGAATCCACAGATGAGGAGGAGTCTGAGCCGGACGAGTTCCAGGAGGAGGAGGAGAAGGAGGTGCCGTTTGTGGGTAAAGACGGGACGGGCGGGAAAGTGGCGGTGACAACGATAAAACCAAAACTGAAGGAACGACTGTACGATGAGTTATTCGAGGAATTGGAAAATGATGATATGATTGTTGAGGAATGCCCCGAGGCGGAGGAAACATTGTCGCGACTGCAGGACACCATGATTGGCCACAAGCAACTGATAGTGAGTACTGCTGCCATTTATATCTCTGGAAAGCACTTTAATATCTTCCTTTTGTATGTTTTAGGCTGTCGATTTCAATGGCGAATTGCACTGGTACGAGGCCATTGATCAGGCCGCGGATGAAGCGCTGCAGCAGGACTTCGAGCAGCAGGAGCAGGCCTATATCGCGAAGCAGGAGCATGAATTCATCGCGGAGCCAGAGCAGCCCATAATCGAGGAGCAGGTGCAGGTCAATGTAGACACTATGCAAATGGAGGCCCTGGACGATGAGCTGGCTCTGTCGATGGCCGAGCACGATGCCCAGGCGGATGACGAGCATATGGAGTATGTGGAACTGGTGACGACAGAGGTGCCCCCAGAGGTGACAACAGAGGTCCCGACAGCGGTGGTGACGATAGAGATCCCTACAGCGGTGACGATAGAGGTGCCGCAACCACCTCAATACCAGCCGCCACCACCAGCACCACTCACACCACCCAAGGAGCAGGCACTGAACTGGCGCTGGAGTGTACCTCAAGTAAGTGATTTTCGATTAAATGCAATGCAATCCCCAATAAAATCTATATTTTTCTTTCTCTCCTTTGAAGACTGGCAATGAAACATCAACCAATTCCACGGACCATCCAATCACCCTCACCTTGGAGCCAGTCATAGAGGATGATTTTCCATTTTGGTGGGACGACGGCGAGTACACGAAAATGCACAAGAACACCGCCTATCGCGAGCACCACGGCACTACCAAGGAGAACATCCAGCGTATCCTGCGCATCATCTATGACCTGTACTACAAGCCATTCAGAGAGGATCGCAAGATGTTCGATGTCTTTCAGATCAAAGACTCATGGCTCTGCGCCACACGGATGACGAGAATGCAGATTATTAAAGATATGTACTCGAAGCTGGGCACGTAGGCAAAAACACATCCATACATAGTTAGATGTATTCCTAAGTATATTGTAAGCTTAATTTCGGGAAACGAAAGTGATTCAAGTTTTCCTCTTTTCTTTCAACATTTTTCAAGCAATATTAAAACTGTATAAAATTTGATATGCAACATTTATATTTTTGCTCTCTTTTTCGTGGACCGTTTTTGTTTTAATTGTATTGTATGGGCATCCAATAAATGGCGTACATAAAATCAGCCCATCTTGTAGAAAAATAATTAAGTAATCGTATAAAAATACGTGTTTAGGGCTCAGGGTCCTAGCTAGCTGCTAATATTTAACGGAATATCAAAATCGAGGAAAATGATCTCCAATTGACAGAGAACGATTAACCTATTGTCGACCAATGAATATTTCAAATCACGCACGAATATTATGAAACTTGAAGATGGGTCATTTTAGTTTTATAATTAAAGAGGAATCAGAAAGAAGTAGAAAACTGTACGTTTCGTATTATATTTCATTATTTAACTCAAGTTATTCACCTGTTTACATAGTGGTGGTGCTTAGTGGGTTAAGCTCGATCAATTATCATCGGTATATAATGGTATATATCAGAAATTGTTTGGTATTTTTATAAAATGCGATGCATATTTCGGTATATTTCCGATGGTCAGTCACACTGATCACAGCACCGCAGAACGAGCAGCAGACTGGCCATTAGAGGCTGTCAAACGATTGATAGTTGAGCCATCGATAGCTTTGAATGTTTTGAAAAAAACAATCGATACTATCATGATAGTATCGGGCTAAAAAAATTAACTATTAATTTTTTTTTTTTATTTACTGGTTACTGGTGCTCGGTTTCTGAGGTCACTCGACAAAACAAATCAAGTTATTTTTCCAAATATTAAGACACATTTCAAATTGACCGCCAAACTCAATTTAGCGCACCAAAAATACTGACATTTTTCGCTCTCAATTCGTGGAGAGTTTGCAAAACTCGCTCTCAATTCGTGGAGAGTTTGCAAACTCGCTCTCAATTCGTGGAGAGCTTTCAAAATTTGCTCTCAATTCGTGGAGAGTGCTCTCTTCTCAGTGGAGAATAGAGTGTTTTTGTGGAGACTTTCCCCTCATTTTCGTGGTGTGGCCGTTTTTGTTTGAACCTTAATATGTAAACAATCCAATGAAAAAGAGTTCTAAAAACTAACCAATCCTGAACAAAATGTATGTATCTATCGGATAAAATTATTTTTTTACGGCTGAGAGTCCCAGCTAGCTGGTAATATTAAACGGAATATCAATATCGAGGAATATCAACGTCGAATGTTTTGAAAAAACAGTCGATACTATCGTGATAGTATCGGGCTGAAATAATTATTTAAAAACCATTGAAACATTTTAGGAACTTGTCCATTGTAAAAATTAGATGCCACCTGTCGATTTTTTTTACAAATTTGTCTTCGTATTTTATAGCAGCCAATCCAAACATATCAAAAGCGCAACGACTGTAGCTCGATACTATCATGATAGTCGCAAAACCGTCGATAGTAGAGACTAGCAGTAAAATATCGATACTATGGATAGTGCCCTCGATGGTTTGACACCTCTACTGGCCATTTTTCGCAAATTAAATAATTAAATTCATAAATGAGAGCATGTGCACGTCCAAATTGAAGTGAGTGCCGGTGGGAAAAAGTCCATTTGTCAGCCGTGCGTTTGTGCGCGAGCCAGTGCAATTTGTGTATACGTAGACAGCCATACAGAAGGCAGCCGGAAGGTGTGCGAAAAAGAGACGCCTCTGGTAAGTTTGCTTAAATAAACATTAGCATTCCATGCGACATATCAATCGAGTGAAGAGTGCCCCCGCCCCCTGCCAAGCAGTTGTATCTCCCGTTTGCTGACGCAGTGTCTGGCATGGTTTTTGTGCGTTTTTAAACATTTTCCTTTTGTTTGACTTTTTGGCGCAAAATAATCTACCACACCGGTGAGCGACAACTCCCCACAGCATGGTGGCCCAATGCGCAATATTTGCCCAAACGCGTGTTCCCTTTCCACGCCGGGTGGCAACCCTTTTTCCGACGCCTTTTAAGTTGACGCTCAAATCGAATTTTTTTTTGTTTTAATAATATAGCTTAGCTTAGCTTAGCGTTATTTAATTTATTTTATTTTCGAGTTAAGTAAGTTGTGAGACTTGTGCCAACGGCTTGCATGCTACATTTGTGCGCCAGTTTCGTGTTAAACCGAGAAAGTAAGTGTAGAACGCAATTTATGCTGACTCGCGCTTAACTGTAAATCTGAAATTTGCTCCGTTAGTTTGGATCCAAAATGGCTTGGACCCCGTCGACACGCTTTGAGGACGATCTCGTCGATTCGCAGCCGGGCTGCAATTTTGTGCTGGGCCAGATGGCCTATGAGATGAAGCGCGAAGCGGAGTATACTCCGCGTCCACCGGGCACGTACGAATACTTGGCGGATCGCGACAAGCGCAACGCCGAGATTGATATGCAGTACGGCCCGGCCAGCTCCAAGACCAAGAGGATTCAGGACTCCCTGACCATGATGGAGCGCATTCAACAGATCTCCGGCACCAAGCCGCTGGGTGAGCACGCCACCATGGCCGACTGGAAAGACACGAGCACCGTTGAGCAAGAGGCCATCGCCATGATGCGCCACTACGGCCTGATGTCCATGGGTGCTGAACCCTTGGCCCCGCTTCCGCTTAAGGAAGAGTACGTACCCAAGGGGCCGATTCATTTGGTCCGCAATGGCCACCGTAAGTTGCCCTTGATCACGGATCCCGAATACTTTCGGCCTCGCAAGACACGTCTGGCCAAGGACACTACCAAAAGCAGTCTCTCGACCAGCTTCAACGATTCTGGCTCGTACCACACTGCCAACGACAGCACTTTGGACAGCATCTACGGATCCGCCGTATCGGATGTGGAAACAACGTTAAGCAGTCAGGATGATGCCGGTGTACCATACAAACTGCTCGAAAAGATGACACTGGAACCGAAGAAGACTACAGCAACAGGACCAAAGCCGGGCGCAGCAACAGGACCAAAGACGATCGCAGCAAGAGGACCAAAGCCGGTCGCAGCAACAGGACTAAACCCGATCGCAGCAACAGGACTAAAGCCGGTCGCAGCAACAGGACCAAAGAAGGCCGCAGAAACTGGAGCCATACCGAAGAAACCGCTGGAGAAAACCGAAGCTACTGCAGAACCCAAAAAGGGAGAACCTACGGGACATATATCCAAGCGGCGCATGAGGCAGCGGCAACATCGTGCCCTGGGGTGGCCACAGAATCCTCAAATAGGGAACTGAACTGATTTAATCAGTATTTACACACACACACACATAACTGGAGGCCTAGCTACACATAACACATAATTTATATATTCATATAAATAGGGAAGGAAGAGAATTCTATATTATAATAGAAAATTTCTAGTATAGCTAAACATTATTTTTTTTTTTTACTTTCTAAATTTAACAAAAAATCGAATATACCCCTTAACTCTTTGAGTACCGGGTATAAAAAACGGAGAATGTATTTAAAAAACTGCGATGAAAAAGTCCATGAGAATCAATGAAAGCGTTATGAAGAGTATAATATTTAAAGAAAACGATTCAGATGTAGCCCAGCATTAGGATCAATTAGTTGAAATCAACATAAAAAAATAGGGCAAAAATATGATCTTCCAAAGGTTTAACCAAGGTAGTACCCAGGATTTTGCGAAAGGGAGGGCTGAATCAGCTAAAATTTCCAATGTACATTCAGTTTTAATTTTGGTTTCTAACTAACAAGTATGCAAAAAGGGGGGAAAAATTCAAAAATTAGTCTGAATGAATTCTAAAAGACCAAATAAATAAAAATACCTTCTATATGCAAAACTGTTCACAAATGTCAAAGTTATTTAATGTTTACATGGAGGACTAAAACTTGGCACACCCTGTATAAATAGCAAATCATAATAAAAGAATGAATAGCTTGTAAAATGATATATACAGATATACTCTCTCATTTTACTTCTGCCAGCTGCTGGTTTCAATTACACAACTTCCACTGTATTTATTTATCCCATTTATCATATGTCCAAGAAAGGAGCAGAATAATTCCCTAATCAATTCTCGGCTACACCCCCTTCGGAATAGTATTGTTTCTGTGTATGGAACTGTTATTAATTTGATGAGCCAATCAATTAAGCCAAATAATCTGTCGCAGTGTCGCCAGAGCAAATTTACCCAAAGCGCCCGCTTGGAAAAGAGAATAACTGCGTGTGTGTGTGTGTGTTCACCAGTCTTTCGTCAGAAGGGGGCAAGGTTTATTAATATAGGGTGATGAATTATTATATCAGAGACCATATCTTGATTTGTCCAATCTATGCAAGCATCACCATGAGACTTAAGAAAAAGCTTATCAAATGTGCGTCCTCGAACTGATCGATTGCCTCACCCTATATTAGCTTTCCATGGCTCAGTCGGCATCTCTCTCATCTTGTTGTGTCCTCAGCTTCGCTTCTCGCCTGAGAGTGTGAACGAGACACACACATTTGTACATTCGCACATGCAAAGCCCTGCAAAGTACTGCAAGTTCACTGTTTCCCCGGCAACCGCGTGCGTCTATTGTGTCTTCTCTGCTTTTCTTTTCTCTTTCTTTCTTTATTTTATTTTATTATTTTTCTTATTCTCTCTCCCTTTTGTTTGGTTGTCAAGCCAAAAGCTGTTGTAGTTGGTGGGGAATTGGATGCTGCTGTCGCTCTGCTGCTGCTGTGGTTGTGTTTTTTGCATTAACATCATATTGTTGCTGTTACGCAGAATACACACATAAATATTGAAGTAGTAGTGAGTCCAGTCAGCGAAAAGGAGATGGTGAAACAGAGAAAGAGTAGCAGGAGGGGTGTATGAGTATGTAAACGAGACTTGAGTCTTTTTCAGGAGCGATAATAGAAGAGTCGAGAAGCGACACCAAAAGATAAAGTTACAGTTACTCCCAAATAAGTTCGAACAGCTGGTTAAATATAATTTGTATGGTTAAGAAACAATTATTTTGGGAAAATTTTTTGACTTTACCCACAGCAATATTGCAAACCTTACATGGTCTTCATTATGTTCTCAGGTTTTATTTCGAACGTGTATGAATAAATACTTTTCCGAGTGTGGCTGCCTCGCTCCCTTTTTAGAGTGGACCAGTTTGATTTTGTTTTGTCTGAAATTCTGTTCAATCCAATTACTTTTAATAGGTGACAGTATCGAATTTCGCAAATTTCTTGTAAGGTTCACTCTGTTCCTATGTTGGCTTGAGGAAAAAGGTCCGCAGCGACGTTAGCAAAGCTTCCTAAAGGAATAGGTAGTTAGGAAGACGCAAACGCTGGAAAGGGAGAAGGAGTCGAGTCACATAAAAGACGAAGAAGATGCAGAGAAGTAGCAGTGGCAAAGCAAAGAAAAAAAGGGGCAACAGCCCTCGCCGGCAGCCGGCTTTCTCAACGTTGAGAGCAAGTTAAACTTGAAAGATTTTGGCGAGAGGCTGCAGAGAGAGAGGATCCACCACCACCGAGGAAACGTGTGTATGTGTGTGGCTGTTGCTTTCCTTTCTCACTCATCTCATCCATCCATCCACCGTTTTGGCGCGCGCAAGCGTAAGCTCCCATTCTGCCATCTCTCTCTATCTTCGGCTGTGCTCTCTAGCTTTTGTGACGTCGCTCTTCACTGAACGCAGAACTGAGCTCACGCGCTCTTGAGTGTGTCTGCGTTTGGTACGAGTTTTTTGTCCATGCCAAATGCAATCGCACTCAAATAATCCAATTCAAATTCAACGGTGAAACAGGACGAACGGCCTTCAGCAGGACTTGCAAAAGCTAAAAAAGAAAAACCCGAAAATAGCTTTACTCGCCATCATAGTAGTGTCGTATAGTAGTAGTTGTACTATTGTAGTAAACGTTTTTCAATCGAATTTCCCGAAAAGCCGAATCAGAATGGGGAGGCGAAAACAGACCACGGACCACGAGGAGGATGTCCCTGCCAAGAGGTGGCGACTTCGGTGTAGATACAGACACAACGCGGCTCACAGGATGCCGGATGGATACCGTCTGTGTCTGTGTCTCTGCGCGCGCGTGTGTGTGAGTGTGTCCTAAGCTTCGACGAAGACGCGGACTGAGACATTTTTCAGTGGTGACTTTTTCGACAAAAAAACACGGTTCAATTCGGTTCGTTTCGGTCTCGATTCGGAGCGCCTTTTCTTATAACCCCCTGGGGGTAGTTGTTGCCTTTGCCCGATGGTGATGCTTGGAAGGAAAGCTTCTAAGGAGAACGGAGAAAAAAAATGCAGAAGGAAACGTCCCAAAAACCCGAGTTGGAGAAAAATAAAGCGGATCAAGGAGAAGAAGGCAGTCCAAGGAGAGCAAGGAATAAAGATGGAACCGCCAGAATGTGAAGAGTAAATAACCTCAAAGGAACCGCGAACGCGTGCTCGCTCTGAAAATGGAGAAGATGAATCCCCCGAAACGATTCCATTGATGACACCCAGTCTCCCTCCACCCCTCCTACTGCAGACGCGACGGTAATCACTCTTTATCATATTAATTAAATAAACTTTTGCTTGGGCGTGCAATTTATAAACAACATATTGCATATGCGGCATTTTTTTTGTTTGCCCCTCCCCTGCTCTTTTTGCAATGCCCGCAAAAAAAAAAGGAAAAACTCTCGAGGTTACCAGAAAGCAACAAAAAAATTGAAGAAAAAAAACTTGCAACGCTGGTCTTGCCACTTGTCTGTCCGTCTGCCAGCCTGTTATGCCTGTCCGTCGGTCGGTCGGTCGGTCCATCCTTCCGATGCCTGTGTCTCTTTTTCTTCTTTTTTTTATAGCCATGCAATATCTTTTTTCATTTCTTGCTTTCCTGTTCGCAGCAGCCAGCCGTTGGAGCCTCCTTCCTTCTTCATGTACAGGGCGCACAAAAAAAAGCGAATGTTCAAATTGAAATACTTTACAAAACTCGTATTTGCTTAGCCTTATCGGCCGCCGTGCAGACCGACACTACACACACACACACACACGTACACTACACACATATACACACACCTCAGCGACGACGACTCTGTCCTGAAGTTTTTCTGCAACTCGCGCTGTTGCTATGTGCCTGTCCCCTGGTCCCCAGAGAAGGAGGAGGAGGAGGTGGTGGTGCTGTAACGAGTCGCAAAGACCGGCCTCTGCAAAAGCCGCCTGCCTGCTGGTGTATCTGCATACTATCTGCAAAATGATCAGCAAACTAGAGGATCCTTCCTCTGGCCACAACGAGAGATAAATTATTAGAAGAAGCTTAAATATAGTGGAAACCGTGGAATTGGAAGGTGTTTGAAGGGTGATTAATATTGGAGAGCTTGCTATAAATAGTTCTTGGGTGCAGGATTGATCTTAGTTTTATCTGATCTCAGAATCTGATCTGATTTTTTAAACATGTTGAATGTTACATTCTTTCTGTTGAGTAGGAAATTTCTGTTAAAAGCATTTTAAAAAATGTATTTTTAGTGCTCTCGATAAGATATTGATATTTTTCTGTGTTCTATGGTCCAACTATAAGTTTTAGGCAGCCTCTTGCTTGAACCATTTAACCATCTCATCGCTCATATCTTCAATTTCTAGTTGTTGTTCTCATATCCAGAAAAATGCATTTCTTAAGAATTTCGTAAACCAATTGTTTAAACTTTAAAGTGATTCTGATAATGAAAACATAGATTTTTAGTAATCCTTATCCTATAACTCAGTTTCAGTTCTCGCGTGGACTTTTCGTTCCTTCCATTGGAATCGTGAGTCGGAGCCCTCCGCGCTTGCTCCCACAACAGCTATTACTATTAGTTTCTTGGGATCTCATTGCTTTGCTCTGTGTTTCGGACTCTGTCAAGCCATAAAAAATATTCATAAATTTCTTTATTGCAAACCTCCATTTTTCCCTCCGCCCTTTGAGCTGGAAGAAATCTGAAACCGCTGCTGGAAATCTTGGCTCCTGCGGGGCTAATGGCTTGGCTAACCATCAACCATCATCATTACAGGGTTTTCTTTCTTTTTTTTTTCTATTTGGCATTAGCCAATAAGCCAACCCAGATGGTTTTGACCATGGCCTGGACTTGGACTTGGACTGGACTGGACTCGACTCTCGCTAGACTGGATTTCGACTTGCCACAATATCATTAATTTTGTAGCCGCTTGTTGGCTGGCTTTCCCTCTGCCCACTCATCCAGCCAGCGACTCGACTAGTTTTGTCTGTCTCCTGTACTCCAACTCTCCTTCTGTACTCCTCCTGGGATGGGGTATCCCCCCACCCCACAGCCACTTGTGTCCAGGGCTGGTGACTCCTGTCCTCTGTGGCCTGCTTTGGTCTCTCCTCTTGGCTCGCTTTTTGCCTTTTCACTAATCCATGAAAATGGTTCTACTGGTTCTCTGTGTGTGTGTGTGTGTGTTTGCTGGTGTGGCAACAAAGACACGCTTCAACATCCCTCCTCCTCCTTATCCTCTTGTGCGCTTCGTTTGACTCTTTAATTTTATTTGATTTTTACTCTAAAACTCTCTCGCTCTGTTTGTTTAGGATTTTCGTTGTTGGCTCCTTTGTGGGTAGTTCTGCCTGCTGCTGGTAATATTATCCTCATTCTCATCCAATTTCGTGTTCCTGTGAAATTGTTTAGTCATAGCCTTAAATATCCTTAGATTTCATTACACAAAAGTTAATCTAGTTGCATTTATCTGATGGGGCAACACACAAAAAAGGAGCCAAAAAATGTCCTACAATTTACTTTTGTTTGTCATGGGCACCCCCTCGGCCTCTGAGTCATTTATATTGTTTTGATAAGAGTGGAAACGCAGGACAAATTTATGGGTTTTTCCCCCGCATCACACAACATTTTCATTTCATTTATTATGATACGAGGCCTATGACAGGTGACAATTTCTTAATGATTTGGGTTCAAATACGAGCATCAGTGCGGTTTTAATGCGGTTTTCTATTCGATGGAGACTTTCTATAGAGAGAGAACTTGGGAGATTGCCTTGTACCCACCATCTTTGCTTTCATCGCTCCCACATGACGCGTCACATGCTAGCTAGATGCTAGACTCGAGAGAATGCCCGAGAATAAAACAAAAACAAAATAAATGCCGTGTGGATGACAAACATCTGCTATAAATACAGTGCTTTAAGCGTTTAATTATTTGATCTAGATATATTTTAAGAAATATTGAAACTATAGAACTGTCCCTATCCTCTCTAAGTAAGATGCTCCTTACCTAAGACATATGTTTAGACAGCATTAGCTTATCCATATTCACAGAGTATGTAAGGGAACTCTCCACATCAGAGCAAAACTATGCTTAGTAACTTCTATCTAACATACTTCAGCTATTTCTTTTGCCGCCTAAACTTTAAGCAAGGAATTCTCTTGAAACTGATTTTTGGGGGTTGTGTCTTTTCCTGTCTTTCCCCATATACACATCTGCATGAATGAATGAATGAATGGTCTCCATAACATACTTTTCCAACTTTGATATCTCTCGGGCGGAAGTTTTTTGCTTCTTTCAGCCGCAGTGGAAAGTTTTTTTTGTGAAAAACTTGTCAAAGTTTTTAGTGGAGTTTCATTACTCATCCGGTATCTCTCTCTCCCCACACTCTTTCACCCCTTCTTTTCATTCCATCACTTTTGAGGTTTTGGCTTGGCTTTAGGCTGTCGACACGTGCTGTGTGACACGCCCCGCTGCCACTTGCTGCCCTGGCCCACTCTACATTTTGTCGTTGAAGCTTTAATGGTGCAACACATGTTATCTTCCACAACACCCTCTCTTTGCACACCTTGTGCTATGCGATGAGAAAGGGGGTTTTGGGATTGTATGAATAATTTAGAAAAGGATATTTCATCATTTTGGGAAATTAACTCAACTCAACTAAACTTTTTGTTAGCAGTGTGACAGATTATAATCCTTTGAGGATATACACATAGGATAGGTGCATATATCCCTCCGGCCTCAGGGATCCCTCTATATCCATTATCCATAAATCCCCTTTACAATTTCCATGAATATCAAAACCCAGTTCTTATGCAAAAATTGGATTTTAAAAAACTTTTCAATTATTCACCACAAAAAAAAAAAGAAGAAAGAAATAACTGGATAAGAATAGGAGGAAGAGAACCCACAAAAAATGGTTTTCCCTCTGGCACAAAACCTAAAAATAGCCCCAAGAAAAACTGACATGAAAAAATAAAGCAAAAAAAAAAGAGAACAGAAGAAAAAAGGAAAACTCTCGAATACGCACGCACACACAAACAAACATACATACGTTAACGCAAACAGACGCTTACGCAGGAAAAAATTCCACTCTGTTGAATGTACAAAGAAAAAGTACAGATAGGACAGACGGGACAGACAAGCCATGCCCCATAAGAAATGTTAATGGTGGCCTGTTGAACAAGCCAAAAGCAACAGTGGCAGCGCAGTCGTAGCTGGCAGAGAAATCAACGCTAGCAGAGGCAGGCGAAGAAGCTTTGCCGGTAAAACAAGCAGCAGCAGCAGCAGAGAGCCGGCATAAAGAAGAAGAAGCAGCGGCAGAACAGACTCCAACTAACAGAATTCTCTCGGGGAACACAGCCAGCACAGCATCCTCTCCAGCTTCACTCAAGCTTAGTCAAGCGCAAGCTCGTTGAGAGCTGAACAGAGAGAGAGAGAGAGAGCAATGGCAGCAAATTAAAGCTAGTCAGGCATAGCGGCGACGTCATATTGCGCTGATGGACAGAAGAGAGAGCGCTGGAGCCCGAGAGGGAAGGGGGTGATTGGACAGAGGATGGAATGTCAGAGAGAGAGAGCTAGGAACCGACAGAGATGGATCCAGAGGGAGCAGAGTAGGAGCTAGCGTGAGGAAGGGTGATTGGACCGACAGTGGAGATGGTGCATGATGAGTGGAGAGCTTTTTCCAGCGCTAGTTTAATATACGCAATATGCTGCCATGGAGGCTTGTCGAGGGGCAAAGGAAGTGGGAAGGATGGTGGTTTGTAGTGGAAGAGGAACTGCGACTGTTGATGATGATGCTCTGCTGTACCACCCCCCCACTCATGGATACACACCCACGCAAATGTACACACACACAACCACATAGAACAGGCACAGTGGGAAAGAACCAAAAATATAATATGTGAGATAAACGAGGGACAAACATTTGGATGTGCGCTCAATGAATAATTATTGTGAAATGAGATTAAAGGGTGGCTTCTAGATCGGTCCTATGACCTCTTTAACTGCCTTCACATGTGTTCCTTTGTGCCACTCTTTGTTATACCATTTCAAAATATTCTGCTGGAACCAGATCATCATACCAGAAGAGAAACCATAGCGTACATACAATTGCCATAAAAAGGTATACAGGAATTTAAAGGGTTGAATGAATAGCTAGGAATGAAAGTGGTGGTTACTACCGATCTATGAACTTGTTTGTTGAAATTCCTTTGAGTATTCCTTTGTTTAGTTCTTTGTCATATCTCGCATGTTCCACTGTGTCCTTCCTTATTACTCATGCAAACACACACACTCACACACACACTCGCATGATTCACTCAACTCTGCCCATGTCCTTTTTCGCTTCAATTGCCCGTCGAAGCGAAGCTTGCGCGCTCTTTTTTTTTTGTTGTATTCGCAAAAGCTGTGAAGCGCCTGCGCTGGCTGTCGGCCGGCTGCCCGAATGGTGAGCCGAACGAACCATGACCATGCCAAAGGATGAAATATTAAAGGCGGCAGGCAGGAGCAGGAAAACGTAGTTGAAAACACCACAAAATTTCAACAGCAGCAGGCAGGCAGGCAGGCAGCATCCCCATGTGCTTTTTTCGCACTCTCTCTTACTCTCTCTCTCTCCCTGGCTCGTAGAAGTGTGTGTGTGCGTATATGTATGCGTGTGAAACAAAGCGTAAATGTGAATGACAGCGCGCGGCAGCGGAACGTTGTGGAATTGTGTGGAACACATCGCAATACAAATTAGAAAAGTTCGACGCTTGGCGGCATTACCCTCTCATTACGTACCCCCCCGTGCTATATCCTTTACCCTTACCCTTAACTTTTTGCTTCTTTTTTTGACGCTTCTACTCTGTGTGTTCTTCCACTAATAGCCATCTTTGTTTTTGCCTCTGTGACAGCTATGCACGAGGTCGCCGCAGAAGCTTTAGCAGGCGACAGATGACGACGACGAAGAGGACGATACCACATGGCGGCAAGGCACCAATACAACACACAGGATACGGCCAACAGGATATTAAGGCACGCAGCAAAATAAACAGAACCCAGACCTCCTCCAACCGTGCACCCAGCGAGCGACCGATAGGAGCCTATCGGTAGGACTAGGCAAACAAATGGCGGCTTTTATGGCAGGAGCAGCAGCAGCCGCCGGTGGAGGAGCTGTTGGCGGAGCCACTCGGGAATTTGTCGAGGGCTGGACACTGGCGCAGACCCTCGGCGAGGGCGCCTATGGCGAGTAAGTTACCATCCGAAAAATTTCATCAAGTTTTTGGCATCTGGGTCTGTGTGTGTGTGTGTGTCCCCCCGTGCATGCATATGTGTGTGGGTCGAAGTCAATAAACCGGAAATGCTTCTGCCGCAGAGCAGTGGCAAAAAAAAGAAACCGAACGAACTGTAACTGAAACGCACTTTTCCGGCGTATTCCCGCTGTATACGACAACGACTGCTGCTGCTGTGCCCCCTGCCGGGCAGGCTCCACACTGCGCATGTCCCATGGCGGCGGCGGCGGCGGCATCCTGACATCCCGCCACCGAAACGGGGAACACGGCGCTGCCACACCGGACCAGTCGATGCACAGACGACAACGAACCGAGTTGCAACTGCAGCAATTCACAGTTGTTCCCCCCGAGCTGTTCCAGTAGCTAATTCCAGTACTTTCTCTCCTTTCTTCCCTTTCCTGTGTGTTTGTGTGTGTGTGTGCGTCTGTGTGAAAATGCAGAGTGAAGCTGCTCATCAATCGACAGACGGGCGAAGCTGTGGCCATGAAGATGGTGGATCTGAAGAAGCATCCGGATGCCGTCACATCGGTGCGGAAGGAGGTGTGCATACAAAAGATGCTTCAGGACACACACATTCTGCGGTTCTTTGGCAAGCGCTCGCAGGGCAGTGTGGAGTACATCTTCTTGGAATATGCCGCCGGCGGAGAGCTATTCGATCGAATTGGTGAGTACGCAATGAAATTTTACACTTGAAAGTGTAAGAATGACAGTGATAAAAGCTTATAAAAATCAACATTTGTTGAGCCAGCCGAATAAGTTGTCTAACTGGTAACGCAACAATTATTGGAAAACCGCCAACGAGTTGTCTCTGAAATATGTTCCCTGAATGATAGCAGAAAGCTGATTTCTGTGAAAACAAATATTTCATTTATATAATAAAGTACCATAGGCATTGGTTTCATCTGGATGTTGTATTCCACGTTAACGCTAGACTGGCCGGCCATTCAGTGGGAAAGAACAAAACAGCTGTTAATTACATCGTGTCGTATTACGTTTAAACTGGTGGTTTTTTACCCCATAATATGGAAAAATTCGTATCTAAATATATCGAAAACTATAGGGTTTTTATTATTTAAAGCTTGATATATTTTTTAGAATTTATCGCATAAAAAACCCGAATTCTATCTGGCAAATTGTATCTGTAGCGTGTCATTCGTAATAAATGTGTCTATTCGCTTAGGGGAAATTGTGTACAGCGAATCAAAGTTGCAATAGGGCAACAGGGTCAATAAAATAAACCTGATCCCAATATCTTGCTCCTATTGTTGTGAATAAACAAAACAAACAAAAAACAAAATACATGTCGTGTGCTTGATCTCTTCAATGATGCTCAATCGTGTCTCGCAGATAAGGGATTATTTTTGTTACGCTGCTTTTAAATTTAAGAAGACCCACGACTGCTTTTAGGCCATCAAACGTTAAAGTTTGCTAAAAAATCTCCACCTATATGATGCCTTGCTTGATGTATAGAGTTTATTGTAAGCCAGTAAAAGTTCTTCTAACTGTTCTTTGCTCTTTTCTTACACCATTCTAAAAGCCAAAACAGATGCTGCTGAAAAGTAGAATAAAACTAGAAAATAAACTTAAATTTACTTCTGACTTGACATTTATTCAACGCCCACTTAAATGCCATTTGAAAAGACAATTCGAGTGAATAGATTGAAACTGAAATTTCATGGCCAAATGCAATCTTCTTTGGATAGTTTCCAAAAACCAAAGTGAAATCCCACTTAACCACAAAGCAAAACTGCAGTCAAACTGTTTTTTTTTTATTTTTAGTTGTGTACGTATTACAAAAGCCTGTTGGAGAAACTACTTAAAGTTTGTTGGCCACTCAACTGGCTATAAGTCCGAATTTCGCATAAAACTTTGCCAAACTCAAACTCAAAACCAAGAGCAACAACAACAACTGGAATCCAATAACATAAATGATCCCTCAAAGTGGTTACCAGAGAGACAACACAGAAAACAACGAGACTATGGCTTGAAAAGAGGAAGAGGAGACTTCTGTCGGATTGCTCATTAGAATCGGGTTTACCATCCATCCATCCATCCATCCATCCATACAGATGATGTGATGTGTGTCCTAGAATCCGTATGTGTCCTGTCCGTCCACCAAAACCTAACAATCCGTGCAACCCACACAAATAGCAGACAACAGACAGACAGACAGACAGACAGATAGACAGAGCTCAGAGTTATGAAAGAATACTCTTACTCGACTACGTAAAGTAGACGACACATGCCAAAACCATATAGACGTTGGCCCCCAGACGCAAATATGCCAATATGTGGAGCCCAGAAAAATGCCACACAGACACACACACAAAAATAGAGAGAGAGAGAGAGAGACGAACGAGACAAGCGGAGGAGGATTAAAGGATGTGGCATGGATGGATGGAAAATACATTCCAAAATACAAACCAGTTGGATGGAGGGTAGGGACCAGCGACAAATCACATTGACAAGATACAGATCTTGATTACAGTGCGCGGGGTTCGTTCCTCCCTATTCTGTCCTGCCTGCCACTTGCAATGACAATTTGCCAAAAACAGACGGAATGGAAAGGCAACTGTGTGGGAGGAGTAATAGGTGCAAAGTTCGTGGCATTTTCATAAATATTAACAACTTGGCAAAAGGTCAGCGCGCGTACATACAACTCGGTATCGGTGGGTTGACAAGAGGCGGCAGGGAGCACAGGGAGAAAGAGAGAGACAGAGAGTTTTCCTATTAATGGAAGTGGCATCCTTGCATTGATTGCCACCTCATAGCTCATTTTCCTTCTCCTATTTCGCAATCACACCGTCATCATCATTGTACTTTCCATCATACTCTTGCTGCTGCTGCTGCTGGTTTTTGTATCTGTTGGGGATAGAGGGGGCAGTTTCGGTTCTGTTGCATTGGTGGAGGGTGGGAGCTAGTGCAATAATCAATGTGGTGGCAGCCATATTTAGTCCCACGCTGCTAAGCCATTTTTAATGATATCTAGAGATGAGAGCGTGGGCCGTGGCTACCATCTACCATGAGTTAGTGGCATATAGAGACAGAGAGATCAAAGCAAACATTCATAAATTATGTGTGGTATTTTGTGTTCATTTTATTTGTAGAAGAACCTATTTTGGAAGGGAGTTAGTTGATCTATTTTCATGTATCGGAATTTATGCTGACAACTGAGTTGATCCCCGCCAGAAGTCAACAGCAATTTTTGCTTACAAATTGTCCATGGTATATTCCTTTACTTAACACAACGATCCTTGCTTCAATATTTAACAGAAAAATTTCAACAAAATGTGTTTGCCTGAGCGATAATTAAATAAATAAATAATAACAATAAATTAATAAATAATAATAAATAAATAATAATAATAAATAAATAATAATAATAAATAAATAATAATAATAAATAAATAATAATAATAAATAAATAATAATAATAAATAAATAATAATAATAAATAAATAATAATAATAAATAAATACATAATTAGAAATTAAAGATTTTTTCGCATCTTTTCATCGAAAATCAATTATGCTTCCACCACAAATGTTGGTTTAATTTCTTTGAGTAAATTTACTAAAACTTACTTGCTTTTAAAAATCAATCAAATTGCACCAAAAGTTTCTGCATTAGAGATCTGCATCTATTCATTAATTTGAATCATCACTAAATGGTTTATCATCTGATATTCCCGTTAGTCACGAGCTTTCATCACAAGCTTCCAATTTGGTCACCACTCTCATCTCTCTCGCCCTCTCTCTCATTGGATGTGGTCTAGCGCCTGTTGGGCATGCAACAAAAAGTCTTTTTGGAGGAGAAGGAGGAGGAAGTGAGGGCGTGAGGGCCTATGAGTGGAGTGCGATGAATGGGTTGCCATAAATAGGTTCAATATGCAAATGAAACATAATGGAGAGGCACACACACACACACACACAGTCCGTGCACTGCACTCTCCCAGAGACAGATGTGATGTCCTTACACTCGCATGTGGGATGCGTGTGTGTGTGTGTGTGCGTGTGTGTTTAATTGTGTCTGTTTGCACAGAAATGCATTCATTAAGCTTGTACCTACCCACTCACCCCAGCAGCAGCAGCAGCACCAGCAGCAGAAGGATATATCGATTCTGAACCGATTTGGTCATTCACTCAATCAGCACGTCCTTTTCTGATGCGATGGCAGTGAAAGAGAGAAGGCCTGCCGTGCCCTGCTGCCTGCCTGCTGGTGGCGTATGCTATATAAGTTATGCTTCAATTACAAATGAAATTTTCGAGCAATTTCCTCGCATAAATGAGGTCGGTGGCTGGCTCTGTGATTGGAGCAAAAGGACATGATCTCGGTATACTTCCTTCCGCTTTTCTCCGTCTCTCTCTGTATCTCTCTCTCTCTCTTTGTAAAATGCAATTAATTATGCTAAAATGTTACTGACATGCAATTTTATAGCTTTCATCTGCTCGTGGCAGTGCCCCATCGTCATCATCGCCATCGCCATCGCCATCATCATCTGGGGCGCGTATTCTCTGTGACTTTGAAATGCATGCAAATGATGTGTTTTTCTTGATGCCACGGGCGGCGGCAATGCCACTTCAGCTTCTTAAAGTCAGTCAATATTCTACATTGAAAAAGAAGATTCGCGCACTCGTTTTCCCATTTAATTTAAACCCGCAAAGAGTTGTGCAAATGGCGCCAGCATCAGAGGAGGCATCAGGGAGCATCAGGATGGCAGGAAACAGCCAACATGCCACATGATAAATGAATGGCAAACAATGTGCCACACTCTCTGTGTGTGTGTGTCTTTGTGTGTGTGTGCCACACGCCACCACGGAATGCTGACAACAACGAGAGTAGGATGCCATGACATGCCATGCCAGCAGCTTATAGATGGGAAAAGCGCCGCCACCATGATGGTCTCCTCTGGGTGGGTGGGTGTACACCTGTTATAACTTTATCTTTTTCCCTCCGCCCCCCCGTAAACTTTTCAGGTAGTACAAATTGAGAGTGACAAGAAGCCAACCAACTAAAGGGATAGACAGTGAAAACGCAAGAGCGAGAAAAGCAGCTGGAAATGTCTGCAAGAAGACTATCAAAATATAAGCAAAATGTCCAACATTTCTGTGGAAAATTGTAAGAAAGTGGTTTGGTGGGGGGGAATGATTACCTAGAAATTGTTATCTTCACTAAAATTTATATTTTTACACTCTTTTCTTAGAATATATAAAGTGGAAAAAAAAAGGTAGAGATAGCAGGGCTTTATCGGTGTCACGACTTTCTGAGTAGTTTTCATTTTCAAGCGTATTTTTATGCTGCAGAAAATTAAATTCAAGACTTTCAATCAGGACTTTTATTTCTTTACTGCAAAGCGGAATAAAGATATTACGAATGAATAACGTTAAAGGGATAATTTTATTTCAACTTATTTCCATTAAAACCTGAGACCAAGAAGCGCTGCTGTACGACGCGTGGGACGTGTAACAGAAATGGAAAGAAAGAACGAAAATAAGTATCCGCCTTATTACTATAAACGTCCTTGCACAAGGATTAATCTTGACTATAGTCTCGAGATTCCAATTTGTGCATCCCAGAAAAATTACCCCATAAACTTTGTCAAGCGATAGAAATTGTTACCAAGTTTAATAATTAAACGAAACTTAACTTGAACTCAATATCTCCATTATCAAATTAGAGCCACACGTTTTAGGCATAAGTTTCTCTTCTCAAAGTGCAGAGAACTTTGATGAAGAAAATTAAATTTATTTGTAAACTTAACTGGTAAAATGCGTAGTAAAACTACACAAACCAAAGAAAACCCATTTCCAATTAAAGTAAATGAAGTAATTCACGTTTTGTGAATTTTCTACGAAATGTTGTAACCAAAAAGGCAAAATTGTAACCAAGTGAGAATTTTCTCAAGGAAAATTGCATCTAAACTTGCTAAGAATTTAAGCGAATTAAGGCAGGCGACAGACAGACCACAACCTTCCTTAATCAATAGATTGCAATTTCCATTTAAAAGTAGAGCGTCGCCCCAAGGCCAAAAACTTTAGCAGAGTTTTCCCTTAATCTCAATTAATTACTGAAACTTTTGCAAACCAAAGAAGCGAACACCCAGCACCACCCGCACCCAAAAGGGTGGTCCATTTTCCAAAGGAAATTGAACGTTTTAGCACCAGAAAAAAAAAAAAACACCACATCATCCATCCATGCAGCCACTTGAATTCTTCACTCGATGCTCAAGTTTTTCCAATGTTTTCTCCACTTGCTTTGCCCTATCAAAGCTACACTCGAATGAATGACAGACAATTAAAATTGTTGAAACTACGGGAATTTTCTGTTTTCACTAAACTTTTCATCAGCTTTTTGTGTTCCGCAAATACAAAAACAAGCAACAAGAAAACAAAAAATTCCTTACCTTTACAGAGCTTCCCTTTTGCCTTTTTAAAGGGTTTCCGCCTGTTCGTACCGTTCATTGGGAAAACTATAAAATTCAATCAATATGTGGATAATTCCATCAAGGCGCTCTGTCGATTGAAAATGTCTAAACATAATTTTGCTCTTTGCCTTTGAGGGAGAGTCATATCGTCGAGTCAATAGCAGAAAAGCAAAATCAATAAGCAACAAAATGATGGAAAATGTATATGTGTGGCCAAAGATATGGAGATGGGAATGAAGAGACGACTCAGCCGAGCAGGATGCAGCAGCAGGATGTTCAGGGACCGACCGACCTTTCTTTGACAGTCAATCAGGTGAAAGGAGCAAGGGGACAGGAGGATATACAATCTGTCTAGCTTTTAGTTCTCTCAGATGAAGGCGGCTCCTCTTGTTCTCTCTCTTGAGGTTTTCCTGCCATCGCTCGTCGTATCTGTCTTTCTGATTATGTCGTTTGAGTGTTGAGTTGGCAGGGGGTGAAAATGCTGCACTTCCGAGTGGGGAAAACTGTGTTTGGTCCTTTACTTGAGAGACTTTCTAATGCTCTGAAAAGGACACAGAAACAGAAACCGAGACTACATACTACAGAGAGGCAAAAATCTCAACAGGTAAAAGTGGAAACTAAACAAACATTTTGTGGCGCATTGTTTGTGTCCAGAGGCTTTGATTAAAATTTCATAAAACTGTTGATTGCATTTTTGTTGTACGACCCCGAACATCATTGCTATGGCTATTGTGGTTGTTGTTGTTGTTTGCCATTGTTGTTGTTTTTGGTGTTCTACTAGACGAGGCCGTGGCTAAGCCCATAAATCCTTTAGACACGCACAGCACGACAGGCAGGCAGAAGGATGATGCTCTCGCCGCTCGCATTACATTTGTTTTTCCACCTGCCCTGGCCTGACCTGACCCCTGGCCGGCCAGTGCATGGCACCCGGGGTTTTTGTGTGCTCTGCTGCACATATTTTCCATTTTCAGTTTTTGCGTGTTTCTCTAGGGGAAAACACACACCACATATAGAGATAGGAGAGGCGGCAAGGAAGGATACACTCCTAGCAACAGATAGAACGTGCGAGGCGGTTAAAACATAAATTGCATTTTGTTTAAATGTGTCACAAAATTTAATTCAATTTCCGTGACTTCTTTTTGCTGGTTTTTGCCTGACTGACACCATTTAACCACCTCTTAAACTGAACATTTATCCAGAGAGTAAGCGTCGTATTTTTAACGTATTTTTCTTTGGCATTTTTTTTTCTTTTACAGAACCCGATGTGGGAATGCCGCAACACGAGGCCCAGCGCTATTTCACACAACTCCTGTCCGGACTCAATTATTTGCATCAGCGTGGCATTGCCCATCGTGATCTCAAGCCGGAGAATCTGCTGCTGGACGAGCATGACAATGTGAAGATCTCCGACTTTGGCATGGCCACCATGTTTAGGTATTAGGTACAACAAAATTACATTTCCAAGGAAACATCTGACCAAACACAAACGGAACAGACCCCGAGATAATAATAGATGATGGATGTAGAATTTTCAAGCGATTTTTGCAGGATTATGAAAAGGAAGATGGATTGTTTGCTTAAAGATTAATCTCAAAGAGAAAATTATATTTGGTTCCTGAGTCTCAGGCTCTGGAAACCATAGACAATGAGAGTTAAAGCTAGGAAAATGTTTATTTTTCCTTAAAGGAAAGAAATAGTTGCCTGTCAGATAATTTTTACGATCAATTGATCCTCTGAAAGTCCTCCGATCATGACGAAAAGAATATTAGACCGTGCTGCCTCAGAAATAGTTGGCTATACTAACTCTAGGGACTTTATGTCTTTAACTTAGACCCAATAACCTTCCCATATACTTGGAAGTAACAATCAGTCGGACAAAATATTGAATTCCGGATCTGGAAATTTCCCAACTTTATGTACTCCAAAAAGCTTCAATTGAAACATGTCAAAACTACTGAGTAAATTAATACAGACCCCTGCAGGGGGGGGGTTCCACATATAGCTAAGCATAGAAAATCCATTAGCGCTGCCACTGACCGACCGACCGACCAGGAAAGAAAAGTTTGTTGCCAAAAATGAACCCACAAGCAGAATTGTTAATTGAAAACACCCCCAAAGGATTTTGCCTTGGGAGCCAAACGAAAACTCAATTTAGCTAATTGCAATTTTGCTTCTGCTTTAGACTGCACTCCATTGACGGGGGAGGGGAGGGGAGGAAAATGCCGAAAAATAATTATTTATAGTTAAAGATTTGTCAAATCATCATTTTCTGCACCATAAAACACTTGTGTTTACACTTCAACTCGAGCTTGAGACGGCGGCAGGCATTATCTTTCATATCTTTGTGCTGCTTTGCTTTTGGATTCTCTTTTAGCCGCCTATGCTTGACATTTTTTCTGTTGCTATGCACTTTTCAATGGACTTTTAAGCACTGGTTAAACGAGGCAGATGATTTACAAACAGATTTCGTAGATGTGCTCTCATTAGTGTTGGGGAATTTTAATGTAAAAGAAACCCAGAACTACCTTTGAGCTTTCATGCTGGAAGAAGTTTATGCTTGCATTCCCGTTTAGCCAGTGCCTGGGCAGTTCTGCATTTCGAATAGATAAGGAGAAGCTTACACACACACACACACACACACACACACATACAAACACAATCAAACGAAAGATCGATCTGTCTCTTGCCCTTATGCTAAAACTTTTTCTCTATGTTCTTCTCTTCTCTTTCACATGCGGCGCTTTTTGGCGGCTGGCGCTTTGCTCTGTTCCCTCTGGTGCTGCCGCTGCTCATCATTTTCGTCATGCAGATGCAAGGGAAAGGAGCGGCTGTTGGACAAACGTTGCGGCACTTTGCCGTATGTGGCCCCCGAGGTGCTCCTGAAGCCATATCATGCACAGCCTGCGGATATTTGGTCATGTGGCGTCATACTGGTCACCATGCTGGCAGGAGGTAAGTGTAAATCGGTTGGAACCAAGTGATATAATCATCATTTTACGTGTTTCGTGTGTGTGTGTGTGGAGAAAACCGTTTAATGCACCGTTTTTGGTTTTGTTGGCAAATTTTTATAATTTTGTGCACCGATTAAAGCAAAAAAAAAACAGTAACAGGGCAACAGTTGCAAAATCTGAAGCATATTTGTCTCGCTCGCTCGCTCGCTCTCTCGCACGTCCTCGCCTGCCTGCCTTGCATTCTGTGTTCTTTGTCACACACCGCACCTCACCTCACCCAAGCATCGCAATCATCGCCCTCGCCTAAGCACCTCGCATCGCATCGTCCACGCCACGCCAAGCATCTCTCGTCTCGACTCGCTTTCATCTAACGGGAATTCATACATACATACGTATACGCACATGCACATACGTATTATCGTTACATTTTTTTTTTTTTTGTGCTTTGTGTTTTGTCTATCTCTCTCTTGTTCGCCCTTTCGCCCATTCGCTGTCTGCCGCCTTTCATATGCACTTTTTGTTCACCTTTAATTTTTGCTGTTTCTTTGGTATTCTAGCTGTAGATTGTTTTTTGCACATTGTATATCATCTAAAGCTTTTATACCAAAGCTCCAGCTTAAATTGCTTAACAACGCACCAACCAGAACAACAACAAAAACAACAACAACAGTAACAACAGTAATCAGAAAACGAAAACCGAAATCGAACGATAATACCACAGTTATAACCAGAACTAAAAAAAAAGAAGAATAATAATGCAATCATTACGCAGTCAAAGCACGTTTCGTATACTCTACTCTACTCTACCCTACTCTCGTTTACATATTTAATTGAAATTGCTTTTCATTTCGCACGTTTTTTGTTTTTTGTTGCTCTTGTCAAATTTCGCATATTGCTAATATAATTTGTATAATATTATAAAATTTGTACACAGAATTGCCCTGGGATCAGCCATCGGCCAGTTGTCCGGAGTTCATCAACTGGAAGGACAATGATCGCTGGCAAACACAGACGCCATGGAGCAAACTGGACACGCTGGCCATATCCTTGCTGCGCAAAGTGCTGGCCACCAGTCCGGGCACACGCCTAACCCTGGAGAAGATTCTCGATCACAAGTGGTCCAACATGCAGTTTACCGAGCACGGTAAGGCGCAATTGAATTTGAATTTGAATGACACGCGTGCATGATGAGAAGTGATGTGTGTTCATCGAGTGATTTATGTGCAAGCACACTTTTTGCCGGCTCAGGTACTTAGTGACTCTCAATGCTTTTGACATCTTGAGAGTCTCTCTGTGCCTGTACTGACGGTGATGCAACTGCAACCGCAACGAAAGTGACTAACGATTAAGGGTGTTATATCTAGTGTTCTGTGATAAAAAGTGTTATATATTCGAAAGTGATTTAAACTGTGCCTAAGCTCTGCGCTGCTCTGCTTCTGCTTTGGCGCTTTAGCTGTATGATAGATTTAAACTACTTCATAAAGCTAGATTACCAAAGCATTGGCTCTGTGGGAAAACCCTCAACCAAGCCAATACAATCCGCCGTTCTGCATACAAATTTTTTGCATTTTATTCCATTTTTGCATTTTGTTTTGCAGCTTATGTTTTATTTTTGGCCATGAGTTTTCTTTTGTTTGCACATTATTTGATCTTTGGTGATTTTAGCTGTATGGTGTATATCCAAGTTCCATAGAGCTTTATCACCAAAACCCAAATGGTTTTTGCATTTTTATCGCTTGAGTTGTTTACGTTTTTTACAATTTTTGTTGTTTTTATTGATAATGAATGAATGGAAAATCTGCATCAATATTATGCCCACTAAAACACTTTTCTTTTCTTCTCTTTTTCTTCACCCACCCACCCACGCACGCACAGATCGCTCCTTTGATTTGGTCGATTCGGCGGCTGCCCTGGAGATTTGCTCGCCCAAGGCCAAGCGACAACGTTTGCAGTCGAGTGCCCATCTGAGCAATGGCTTGGATGACTCCATATCGCGGAACTACTGCTCCCAGCCGATGCCCACGATGCGCAGTGACGAGGACTTTGATGTGAGATTGCGCAGCGGTCGTGCCACTGGCGGTCAGGAGAATCAGGCCGTGGCGCAGGAGGCGCGTCTCAGCTACTGCTTCTCGCAGCCGGCCCTGCTGGACGATCTGCTGTTGGCCACGCAGATGAATCAGACGCAGAGCGCCTCGCAGAACTACTTCCAGCGTCTGGTGCGGCGCATGACGAGATTCTTTGTCACCACGCGCTGGGACGACACGATCAAGCGGCTGGTGGGCACCATCGAACGGCTGGGCGGATACACGTGCAAGGCCAGCGAGGAGGGTGTGGTCACGGTATCCACCATTGATCGGAACAAGCTGCGGCTGGTCTTCAAGGCGCACATCATCGAGATGGATGGCAAGATACTAGTCGATTTCCGCCTATCCAAGGGCTGTGGCCTGGAGTTCAAGCGGCGCTTCATCAAGATCAAGAACGCACTGGAGGACATTGTCATGAAGGGGCCCACCACATGGCCCATTGCGATTGCAACCAATTCGGTGCCTTAGTTTTTATTAGAATTTTTACCCAAGACTTGACACTGTTTCATTTGGATACACTTCCAAGCATCAATCATCACTACCTACCTTCGAATAGTTTAAGCAATTTGTAGCATGTGCTAAACCTACTTTTAGTTCATGCATTATCGACGATTACGTTTCGTATTATTAGCGTATTATTACGATACACTGCCTACTCTACTATGATTTTAACTTTGTTGATTTTTAAACGAATGCGCCGAGTATTGAATGTTAATTGATTAGTTAGTTAAACAACGTTATGAAACAATAAATATTTACTTTGTAATATAAAAACTTAACTAAAATTGTATTAATTAATATTTTGGAATTTTAAACGAAATTTTGAATATAATCTAAAATTGTGCATGAATCCATGTGCTGCCATGTGCAGCAAAGACCTGTCTACTCGGGCAATCCCAAGGATCCGCTGGACCGCTTTGACAATCTTCTCCCGATGGATTGAAATCTCTTTCCTGCCTTGCAGCTCCATAGCCGACAACTCGAGTAGCGACACGAGGTCTATTGGCTCTTGTGGCCATCGCCGTGGCTGTCTCCTTCTGGTCTAAAATAGGCGACCCTACACTATAGCCCCCCTTCCACATCCAAAAGAGTTCCCCAAACCGTTCTTTGTCAATCCCGACGCTGTGCCCGAGCCATCGCCGAACTACATCTACATCTACAAGGGTTAAACACACATACTAAGATGGACTTAATTGTCTTCAGCTCCACCTGGCGGGAATGATGATAAGTGATGACATTAAGGTACGCTAGGGCGCCACCCCACCGCCGGGTTAGCCGGGTTTCACACCACTTTGATTATTTTACATGTATGTTTTATTACATGCAATCTACTTGATGCAAGTACAGCCAACGACCGACAGAGCGCGTATAGCAGTGTAGCAGACTCCCCACAGTGCCGCCACTAGTCGAAAATATAAAACAAATACGTTACATTAACCCCTTGATGGGGATGGGCCATCAAAGCGACTACTCTTGGATAATTGCCCCCCACGTCTCTCTGACAACCAGCACCACTAGGAGAGAATCTTTAGCGAAGCGATTGAAATGTTGGAGATATTATATTATGACTGAACCTCCAAGAAGGAGCTGCACCATGCTATACATGTTAAAGAAGTAAGCCCCATCGACTATTGGAACACCTGCGGGGGGCATTCGCTTTATTTGAGTTGAACGATTTTATGCTTAATTTAATTCTATGTCTCAACGATAATTTTGTGGTTTCATTTCACTGTATTGGGTGGTAGAGTGGGGTGGGGGGATTGAGTGTGTATATAATTTCAAGAGAATTACAACGACTACGAATACGATATCCACGCGGGGCCGGCTAACAGAATATCTGATACATAGGGGGGTGTTTGTTGGTTGTTTGTTTATATAAATAATGATTAGATCATGTTTTAACATTAATAATAATGTCTAATAACGAAGCATAGAGACAGCAAACGGTATTTTGGTATTTTAATTCTGTTGCCGATTTGTGCGCCAGACACAAATAAATCCAAAAGGGGGGTTGACGAGAACACGTACACCAAAAAGTATCAGCACCACCCCAGGATGGGTGTTCTCCTGCAGCTGCTGCTGATCATCATCAGCGGGTGCATTCGGTGTGGTTGGAATTTTGAAGTAGCAACGCTTACTGGGGCTTCCTGAAGCTCTTGCCGGCGAACTTGACACCGGCGCCGATCTCCTCCTCAATGCGCAAGATCTGGTTGTACTTGGCCAGACGCTCGGAGCGGCATGGAGCACCGGTCTTGATCTGGCCAGTGGACAGACCCACAACCAAATCACCAATAAACGAGTCCTCAGTCTCGCCGGAACGGTGAGAGACCATGGTGCCCCAGCCGTTCTTCTTGGCCAGCAGATGGGCGGCAATCGATTCGGTGACGGTACCGATCTGGTTCACCTTCAGCAGCAGGCAGTTGCAGGCGCCCTTCTCGACGGCGGTGGCAATGCGCTTGGGATTGGTCACGGTCAGATCGTCGCCGACAATCTGGATCTTGGTGTTGCAGGTCAGATTGGTCCAGGCCTCCCAGTGATCCTGGTCGAAGGGATCCTCAATGGATGTAATGGGGAAATCCTTGATGAACTCCTGGTACAGATCGGCCAGCTTGTCGGCTGACAGCCACTGGGTCTTGTCGCTCTTCTCGTTCTTGAAGTCCAGATCGTACAGACCATCCCGGAAGAACTCAGAGGCGGCCACATCCATGCCGATTTCGATCTGCAAAGCGTATACGAAATGGGATTATAGAGATTTCCTCTTCAATGGCGAGTAACTCTTGAGGGACTCCTTACCTTGCCGGTGTAGCCAGCCTTGGCGATGGCATCGGTGATCAGGACGAGAGCCTCCTTGTTGGACTGAATGTTGGGGGCGAAGCCACCCTCATCACCGACAGCGGTGGCATCCAGACCAAACTTGGCCTTGATCACGTTCTTCAGGTGATGGTACACCTCGGAGCCCATCTTCATGGCCTCGGTGAAGGTGGTGGCGCCGGTGGGCAGGATCATGAACTCCTGCATGGCCAGCTTGTTGCCGGCATGGCTGCCACCGTTGATCACGTTGAAAGCGGGCACGGGCAGGATGATCTCCTTGTTGCCAGCCAGATCGGCGATGTGTTTGTACAGGGGCACGCTCTTCTTGGCGGCGCCGGCCTTAGCAACGGCCAGGGAAATGCCCAGAATGGCATTGGCACCGAACTTGCTCTTGTTCTCGGTGCCGTCCAGCTTGATCATGAAGTTGTCGACAGCAGCCTGATCAACCACATCCAGATTGGCCTTGATCACCGCAGGTCCGAGGGTGTCGTTGACATGGGCCACAGCCTTCAGCACAGACTTGCCATGGTAGTTGGCCTTGTCGTTGTCGCGCAGCTCCAGTGCCTCATGGACACCGGTGGATGCGCCAGATGGAACGGCGGCACGGAACAGACCATTTTCGGTGGTCAGATCGACCTCCACGGTGGGGTTGCCACGGGAGTCGTAGATTTGACGTGCCTTGATCGCCTTGATAGTCATATTGCTGCTGCAAATGCAACGAGAGAGAGAGATGGCAAAAGGTTAAACATTTGTAATTCGTTGGGGTTTGTGGCGTAAGTGAAACCACAAAATTGGATTTTTATTAAAAATTATTCTATGATTTATACAATTAATTTGCAACGATATTTGTGTTATTCTCATAGCTCTTTAGATCGAAAATCAAATTTTTTCAATCACACCATCATTGTAATGCCCTCTGGAAGGGTATGAAAAAGACAACCAGATTGCCCAAAGACAGATAAGAATTACAAAAATGCTTGTTGGACTTTCATCATGGAATATTCCCGTTAATTCCAACCAAATCTATATTTAATTTCGATCAAATCTTTAATTAAAGTATTCTAAAATTGTCCAAAGTCAACAACACGGGCGGCATTTTGTCTGAAACACGAAGCGAAGAAAATGTATTTTCTACACAGCGGGAGAGCGGCGCAGCGCACTGAGCGCTGCTCCCGTATGACCTCTAAGCAGCTTTTAAAGGTCACTCGCAAAGTACGCGAAAAACCGCAGCCGGAATACGTGTAAATTATCGCCGAGAAAAAAAAGCGAAAGTACACGATTTGTGGAAATAATTGCAATAAACAATATTTGTCATTGTTTTAGTTGAAATTAAATTCAATTAAGAACAGATACAGAGCAGGGAGCGGCACTTGAAAATTTTGCACAGACATTTTTGTTAGATAATCGCAGGAGCTTTGTGGCAGAAAAATCTTTGCATTTGCATTACGCTTTGATTAACAAATTAAGGCAAACAATTAAGCACGCACTTGGCATATCAAATTATTAAATATTACTAATCACACACACACACACTAATACATACCAAGAACTTTTAAATTTGAGAAATTTAAATCCAGATGATAGCGATTCTAGAGAGCTTCCGGCGTTGCTGTTGCTGGCTGCTTTGCTAATGAAAGCTGCGGACGAGAAAAAGGCTGTGGAAGCCACCTCTGCTCCCACAGAGTGGGGCCAGCAGCGGAGAGCGCCACGTAAAGCTAATATGCTCGCCATTGCAGAGAGAGAGAGAGTTGCTGTCGCTCTCTCTATATGTATGCGTTTCCAGGTGCTGCGCCGGCTATGCTTTTGGGGTGATTGTTCTCACGCAACTGTTCTTTTGAGAGAATTGACCTTCGCACAAGGTTAGTCGCTGCCAACGCACAGGGGCTTCCTGTGGCATATGGGCCCAAGCTGCAAAAGAGAGTTGTGGTTAGAAATGAGAGTAGAAACTAGAAAATGAGTCTGCAAATGTCATACCACACTCATGTAGGGTATAAAATCAGTTTAAATTCAAAAAAAAAAACCAGATATTTTTGTAGCATAACAGCTGATCATGCACACACACACACGCACAGCAACCAGGGCTGCAATCTTAAGCAGTGCTGCAAAACGTGCCACCCGTGACCATATGTTTCAAACGACACGCGGCCGGCTTTTTGTTTTGGACTCCAACGCGGAATTAAATTAACACAAAACTACTTTTAAAATGGACAGCAGCAGCGCCATTGTAATGCCTGGAGAGCGCATCACCAGCATAGAGGAGGTGGCAAAGGAAAAACGCGTAATACTGGGCCCTGGACTGCGGCGACTGGACGATACGGTGGTGGCCAGCAAAGCGGGTCCACTGCGTCACAAGGAGCCCAACACGTACTGGATTGACAACTACCAGAGACGCTATGTGCCCGCGCGCGGCGATCTGGTGCTGGGCATCATCAAGGGCAAGGCTGGGGATCTGTATCGCGTGGACATTGGCTCGGCGGACATTGCCTCCATTTCGTATCTGGCCTTTGAGGCGGCCACCAAGAAGAACCGGCCCGACCTCAATCCGGGCGACATCATCTATGCGCGTGTGCTGAACGCCAGTGCGGACATTGAGCCGGAGCTGGTGTGCGTCAACTCGAATGGAAAGCGCGGCAAGCTGGGTCTCCTCGCCGATGGCTTCTTCTTCAAGTGCACCCTCAATCTGGGACGCCTGCTGCTGCGCGAGAATTGTCCCGCGCTGGCCGCCCTTACCCGTGAACTGCCCTACGAGATCGCCATCGGCGTCAATGGACGCATCTGGCTGAAGGCGAATTCCCTGCGCGAGACAATGGCTCTGTCGAATGCCATACTGACGATGGAGCAGGCCGGCTACACGGAGATTGAGAAAATCTGCGACAATCTGGGCGATGTGCTGCAGGCCTAGCTCGCTTCCAATAAATCTTTACTTAGTTTACTTACATTTCCAAAAAAAAACAAAAGAAACGAGCAATTTTTTTTTAATACTTTTGATACGACTTTTATGTAAAGGCAGCCCTGCTGCTGGCTGTCGGAGATGAGCAATTGTGTGACAACTGCATGGTGATCACGATATGAGAATTTTGTTATTTATTTAATGGAAGGGATTTGCCTGTGCTGCAGCAGTGACGTGACCCATTGGAACCATTAAATGTGTGAAACTCATTTCACATACCAACGGCGAAAACAATTCCATTTAATATATTATAACAAATCACATAATTAACACGCCACCCCACTGAATCACTGCATCATCTCCACCCAACCCACACCAGAGCAATCTTTGCCCACCGCCATAGGCATTCTAGTGCGGAACAGCTGATCCGGCTCTTATCTGTGAGAGAGACGGCCGCCGTAAGAGGAGTCGCAAACTTTTGCTTTGCAGTTGATTGTATTACGGCAAAGTGCAAAGGTAGCAAATCTCAGAGAGTGTACAATGACCTTCCTGGAGTTCCTGTTGATCCTGCTGGTGGGCTACTATGTGATCTATGTGCTGCTGTGGATCGTGCTCGACTGCAATGTGGCGCTGTGGATCAAGTCAAAGTTTGGCGTCTCGCTGTCGTCGATGCGCGGACAGGTGGTTTGGATAACGGGCGCCTCGAGCGGCATTGGCCGCTCCCTGGCGCTGAGCCTGGCCCGCCATGGCGTTCGACTGGTGTTGAGTGCGCGCCGTGTGGAGCAGCTGGAGGAGGTCCAGGAGGAGTGTTTGGCAGCGGCACGCGGTCTGCTGGCCACCAAGGATGTGCTCATTCTGCCCATGGATATGCTGCAGCTGCAGCGGCACGAGTCCAATCTCTTCACGGTGCTCAATCACTTTGATCGCCTGGATGTGCTGGTCAACAATGCGGGAAGATCGCAGCGCGCCAGCTGGACGGACATCGAGATCGAGGTGGATCGGGAGCTCTTCGAGTTGGATGTCTTTTCTGTGGTCCATCTCACGCGTCTGGTGGTGCGCTACTTCATCGAGCAGAACGGGGGTCGTGGTCATGTGGCCGCCACTTCCAGCATCGCCGGATTCGGTCCTGTGCCCTTCTCGGCCACCTATTGCGCGGCCAAGCATGCCCTGAACGCGTATCTGCTGTCCCTGAAGCTGGAGATGCGCAAGCTGGACGTGACTATCTTCGCCCCGGGGCCCATTGCCACCGACTTCCTGCAGGAGGCCTTCACGGGCGAGCAGGGCGCCAAGTATGGACAAAGTACGGCCAATCAGAAGCGGATGACAGCGGAACGCTGCGGCGAACTCTTTGCCGTTGCACTGGCCAACAAGATGGATCTCACCTGGTGTGGCCTCTTCCCCGTCAATCTGCTGGCCTACTGCGCCCGCAATCCCACGCTGACCAAGATCCTCGGCCAGTTTATGACCGAGCAGACGCTCAACAAAATACGCGAGGGTAAATTGTAAGATGCGGCGTTGGTTGCCCCTCTCGGTGCTCAGTCAACTTTTATTTTATACATTGTACAACGTTTAATTATACAAATATAGTATACAAATATGTACACAAAGATAAAAACTGGAATTGCGTTTGTTTGCTGGAGCATCTACAGTGCGTTGGAGGCACTAAGTTTCCAGTATATTCGCTTGAGGGTGTGGTTATGCTTGCAAAACGCACTATGGAACGAAGATTTCTTCACCATTTTATCATTCTTTAATCACATAAACAACTACTACTAAGACCTAATCTTTACCCAGAGCTGCCTTGACATGGGCAGGGATCTTGACACGTTTCCGTTTCGCCTTTGTCAGAACAGTTTGTTCTACGCCTTGTAGCGGCGGCTTCGACTTTTCCTTTTTGCTCTTTTTGCAGGACAGCGGATTGGGATTTTTGGGTCCCTTGCGTTTCGTTGAACTCGTGCTGGTGGCTTCTACTGGCTTTAGGCCCTGCTTTTCCTTCATGTAGTCAATCTTTGCGGCATGCTTGCCCAGCATGAGGTCCTTGGCCTGTTTTAGCACCCACTTTTTGGATGCTTTCGAGGGCCCCTCCAGCACGGGAGTGGCTTTGTGCAGATACAGCAGGCAGCGTCCGGGAATCTTGCGCAGACTCTCCTGCAGCAGGCGATCCTGGGAGGCGACTATGTAGCGATTGTCTTTGGTCTGTCGGCGAAAGTGTGGAATTAGTTCGATATTCCTCTGTTCGTCTCAATCTTACCATTGATTTGATGCAATCAGCGGCGGCCACAGGTTTGCCCTCGTGCCCGCATTTGTGCACATGGAACTTCTTGACAATCGTTGTGGCTCCTGTCAGGGGTGCGCCCAATGCCTCCGCCTCTAGGATCACACACTGGGTGGTCAGCAGCTTGGCACTGCATTGGAAATACTTCCTTATCTGCTCGTCAATGCCAATTTTGTGCTGCAATTTATAATTTGTATCAAATATTCAACAAGTTTCATGGCGACTCCTCACCAGCAGCGCTGCCTGGCAGAATGTGGCGTCCACCAACACCTGGTAGGGCTCCCGATAGTCAAAGTTGGTGGCAAAAAACACCAAAGTCTTGTGAGACTTTTTAAATCTTGATATTTTCATTGTTTAATTTAATTTTAATTATATTTTTGTAATTATTTTAATATTATTTATCGATAAAATATACGAACTTAACCCTCTTAGCCCGCGTCTATTAAACTGGCGGAAACAACTACGAGTCAAATCGTGGAATATAATACTAATTTTACTTTTAATTACTTACAAAACAAAAATGACCACGATATGTTTCACCTGAACTGCACTAGAACTGTTCAGGTTTCATTATATTTGTGTGTAAATTGATTTACCCACTGGTCGACAGTGGGTTAAGCTTTCGCGGAAATCGGAAATTATCGGTACTTTTGTGCGATAAGTTGCAGTGATATCAAAAAAAACAGTGCTGTCAACTGCTGGACAATTTTGAAATTTCCAGCTGTTGGCGCCTCGGGGCACTGTAATCAGAGACTGCATTGCATTTTCAACCCCCTTTTGCACTTTCACCCCTCACACTCGTGCCTATTACGCGTTTTGTTTTCGTTTCCCTTTTTCCATATAGTAGTTCTTAATTTTATTTGTACTTTTACTGCAGTTGCGGGCACAACAAGTAGCGCAAAGACACAGCCGCCGCATTTTTATATGCATATTTTTTATATACTGTGTAAGTTGAAGTTTATTTAGAGCAGCAAGGCAAGTGTTTAAGTAAATGTGAAATAACAATAATAAGTGGAAGGCTGCAAGGCTCGTGTGGAGTCAAAGGTTAATCTTGAATGCTTACTGCAATTTCAATTATTGTAAGTGCTGTGTTTGAGGAGACTTGTGAACCGGGCCGTGCGTATATGGATTATTCATATGTTCAATCAAATGTCTATATAGCACAGTGTATCGTACAGTAAGATCTCCCTGGAGCGGCTATCAACAGTTGGTGTATTTTGGTCAGCTTTGGGCAGACACGTCCGACTTCGACAGGGTCGGATATGGATTATTCATATTATGCGAGTGCGATTGCGAGTGCGAGTACGAGTGCGAGTACGAGTATATGCACCACAAGCTCTCTGCCGCCTTTTCGGAGATGGTTTATTCATACAATATCAAATGTCTACGTACTCGCACAGTGCAAGCTCTCTTCAGCGGAATATTAATTCTCCATAGAGCAGAGTACATACAGTAAAAATTCCCTTCACGGCACAGGATATCCTTTGTTACTTTTTTCCTCTGCCTATTAGGGTTGGTTCAAGTATAAAATTGAAACGAAGTTTTCCTGCGGCAGCTGCCAGTTTATGGAAGGTACAGAATTGTCCACCTGGAGAGCATTGACTGTAAAATTTCTATTCGCTTAGTAGATACCGCTTGCAATTTGCATTTTATTTTGTTTCTTCTATTCGCTGCTCCATCTCTCTCTTTCGCTATATGCAATCTCTCTCTGTCTGGTACTGCAATCTACTCAATTGGCATTCAATTAATGGGGAAACGTTTTTGCAGCTTCAAGTTTTCTGCTTATCATTCTTATTGGAGTGGGATTCCTCTATAGTTTTTTTCCCTATGATAAGCAATATCGGTCAAGTTTGTGCATAATGACATGCCGATAAAGCCCCACATATGATGCAGCCCATGCAGCGCCCAGCAGCTGCTTGATCTATTATATTTTTCTTTTGTTCTTTTCCCCGCCGCCTCTTAATCTACGAAGGTTGAGTGCCATTGACAGCTGCCGCCGACTGGAGGTCGAGTGCAATCACCTCAACACTCTGTAGGATCATCATCATAATTTTCCACCACTTTACAGTTTATTCTTACAGTTTATTCAACTCGAGTGGTCGATGAGGAGCAGCAACAGCAGCCAGTCGCATAGGAATTGAAACAATGAAATGACCAAACGAATATTGATATTCATATGCAACAATCCATTGTGCGCTGAGCTGAGCTGAGCAGCTGAGCAGCTGAGCAGCTGAGTCCTCCTTTCAGAACACACCTTTCGATATACAATATACGGGAACATGGCATCGTAAAGTATGGTCATGTCTGGCGTGCCTCGAATTCTAATTTCTCCCCCCCTTTTTTTGCTGTTCTGTTCGGTTCTTTTGCGGGTTTCCGGTGGCTTTCTGGCCGACGCTCTGTTGGCTGGCCTTTGTCGCTGTTGGTGGTTGGAAAGAAAGTGACGCATGGGTTTTGGGCCTAGAGATGAAACTTTGGATGGGGCAGGTAGCGCTACTACGGAAAGGAAAAACCACAAATGTCAGTCGTTTTGTTGGTTGGCTAGTAATAGTAATTGAAGTTTATTTTAATGTTCTTTTAAGGGAGAATAAAATGTATGTTGAGTGTGGAGGATATCTAAATTCGAGTATTTATATACATATATACTTATAGTGGGTGTCCAAACAGATGGGTTACATTTTCTAGTGCATTAAATATACCTATAATATCCTTTATTGGAAATTAATATTTGAAAGCAGTGTGTTCAAGCAAGCCGCACAGCCAAAAAATTTGAAAATACGAGTATACGATAAATGCCTCAATAAAAATGTGCCAACTGAATAGTTCTGTATTTGTTTTAGTTTTTTGAATTGTTGTACTTTGTTTAAGATTGAGTCATCTGGAGACTCTTAAAATATCTCATGAATCTCTAGCTCATTGGCGCTTCGTTTTCAAAATGTTAGTACCCAGATATTTTTATATATAAAACTAAAAAAAATTGCTCAAAGAATGCCAATAAAGCCCAAGTTCTTTTGCTTTTATTATGTTTAGTTATTTATTATTATTTTTAAATTTTAGATTGTAATAGTTTAAACATTTCCTTGCAGTTTTTCCGCTGTACTTTAATTCCTTGGTATTTTTCCTATGGACCCAGTCTACGTTTGTATTGTTAGAAGCTTAATTATACCCCCACACGAAAATCGGACTATAATAACATTTGATTTCTCTTTTCATTGTATAACTGCTGCTTGTGGCGGAAAAGTAAATACCAGTATTCATTGCTCATTTGCAATCTTTTCACTTAGTTGGACGCTTAAGTGCAGCAGCATTAGTTTTGGTTCGCTTAATTTCCATTACAACAAAATCCCATCGCTAAACAGTGAACTATATACCGTCCCTTAGTTCCATTCAGTTCAGGTCTCGCCTGTCTACGCTACCATCGTCATGTACGCCTGTCGTATAATCCCGCCAGCCGAGAACTGATACGATCATTAAACGATTGATCGCTCTATCATACGATGGGGCAGATGGGAGCAGACCAAAATGCTAAGTAGAGAGGTAGCCTGTGGCCAGGCCAGGCCGGCTTCACTTCACTTCACTTCATTTCATTTATTCATTCATTGGATTCATTCATATTTATCTAACGTCACGCCAAATGGGCTTGCCCCCGAGTACGTTGCCGCTCGCCCACCGCTCTGCGCCCTGCAGTGGTGTGCATGCCAATCAGGCTGAGAGACGCTCCAAGACAGCCCCAGTGCCAGGGCCCAGACTCTTCCTATGCTACCTTTCCGCCCCCTCGCAGCAGTCTTAATTAGTTGCCAAATGGTGAGGAGTCCGAGTCGAGTCGAGTCCGGGTGCTGTGCATATTGCTGTACGTAAGCCGATTTGGCTTTGGATATATATGTATATATAGTATATATTTATACCTCATTAGCAAAACATTTGGCGTCCAAAGTGGACTTTTAATAATGCGATTTTATTTTCTTGCGATTTCTGGCTCGGCCTTAAGAAAGACTTCACTTCTCTCATGTTCGGCTGAACGATTCTTCTCTTTCTTTTTGTTGCTATATGAATTCTGTTTATTTATTGTTTGTATTCTATTTTGCTATGTTATCGTCTTGGAATTTTTTGTTTCGAATAAATCTCTCCTTGTGTAAAAGTGTCGCCCTGGAAAAAAATAAAAATGATCATGAACCCAGATGTTGACCCTTTGTTTAGCAAAAGTTTTTGCACTGAATCGGGGGGTAAGTTTTCATATATTAGTTTTGTTGGGTTCGTTTTCCGTCGCACACGCTCCATCGACATGTGCCTGTCCCTACGGATTGCTATCAAGGTTTCTATACTATATTTTTGGAATTTAAATCTATTCTATATAATTTGTATTTGGATCGTACATAGAATGGCATAGAAGAAACCAAAAGATTTTGTCACCTCTCATCCGGGTGGTGGTGGGGGGTAAGTGCGACACGAGCTGCCTAATCAGCTGTCGGTGGGGCTTATAAGCAGGAATCAACAGCCCCTTGCTGACGATCATTAAAATCATCATCAACGATCCCGTCAACGTGATCTCTGCTTGCGTAGTTTCGCCACCGACGACAAAGTCTAATTTGTTTATTAGCTTTCTCAGTGCATTAAAGCTTAAGTTGTCAACCGTATTGTATAAGCAAAATAGGTTTCCCATTCATTTAAATCAGCTTAATGGTTTGGGGGCCCTGCTGATAAGCTATAGACGGGTGCCAGGTTCTTGGGGAATGGCTCTTCTTGCCATGGAAATCCTTCGAAATTTTGTTTCTCTATAAGACAAAGGTCTGTTCGTATCTCGGTGATATACGCATCTGTGATGAGTGAGGCCTTTGTGTAAATAAAAAAAGAACATTTAAGTTTTTACTGCTCCATAAACACATATATTTTTAGAGAAATTTGTTTTGGTTTTTGTTTGGGGTAAGAGACCTCTAAAAATATTGTTTAGTTGAGAACAACAACTTTAATGATTCACAGACATGTCCATAATGTGTGTGAGGTGATTTCAATTAATTATATTATATTATATAATTATATATTATATAAATTATTATATTCACATGTAATAATTGAATTAAAAATCATAGTTCTAAAATTTAATTCCTTTTGAATTAACATGCTACTTTGAGACCTTAAAACACTTGAAACATTGCCAGAAAATTGAAAACTAATGATGGCAGATGCTCTTTTTTAATGACAACTTCTTCTGGAGGTTGTAAAATATTGATCAATAAACTAGGGATGTGGATGATGTGGATCTAATCAGCACTGTGTAATGGTGTTTTTTTAAAATTAATATGTAAATTTGTGTAATTTTTTTTAAACCATTTCCGGAAATTCCTCTTTGCACCCTGTGATTTCAAATGCATTTAATAAATGTTTAGGCAAAAGCGTTTAACTTCATATCAATATGTAACCATTTTTAAACCGCAATGCACTCTCCCAGTGTGATTCACGCTGACCAGAGATTGAAGCAACTCCCACAAGATCTTTGAGGTATTTTTGTATTTCCAGCGACAATTGCTAGAGGGGGAAAAATATCGTGACGTTGGTCTCGCGAGTTGCGAATTAGAAATTCAAATGCAGCTCCCACACACAAACACACACACACACACACACGTTGTGTGCGAAGGGGAATCCAAGTAACTGAGATAAATCAACTGAAGAGGATTGAGTAATATTACTAGCTGTGCGATAAAAGAGTAAATTTTCATTGGCCAAAGTTCGTGGGAATCGCTGCAAATGTTGGCTACGCAATTGGTAGCCTAATCATTTGATGTACAGTATTCTGTGTGCTATCTGCCACACCGTTTATTATCACTGGCATCATCGCTTGAAAAACCCACATACATAATTGGGGGAGGCACTGATAAGAAGGGCAAATATTTTGCATTATCTGCGGAGGTGGATTGCTGGATTGTTGTCTTGTGTTTGCCCATCCAATGAGGCTTATCTACCCGCCTGTAGTTGGCAAATTAATTACTCGCATTCCAACCGTTGGCATCCAAGGCCAGATATTCCACATGCACATCCAGAAGGGAACTGCGCCATTTATCCATTTTATGGTTGAACAATTGGCTGGGTTCACGAACCCAACTTAATCACCATAATTTGATGCTATAAAAATCGATGGCCCGACCTAATCGCTGGCTTAGGTTTGACCGATAGAGCTCGCGATCCCATACGGCTTGCAGATCACGTAATTATCAATTATCAACACAAAATGCTCATACGACACGTCGAACGCGATTTGCCTTTCGTCTAATTGCCAGTTAGGAATTGTCTGTGTGTGTACAATGTAAGTGTTCGGGATGAGAACAGAACCGGTAAGGGCTAGGCGGAGGGTAAGGGCTAAAGGTATGGTTTTTGAGATGCAGCCAGGTGCTATGGGGTGCCACAGGGTGCCATAGGGTGCTAAGGTAGGGCTCACAGTTGTACTATGAACGCAGATAAAATCTTTGAGTAATTTGAGTGTCAGGTATTGATTGACTAATTGATTGGTTACGCAAATTTATTAAGGGGATTGTTTAGGCCTAAGTGAGCAGCATTTTAAAGTTGATTGAATGAAAACAACTTGCTGTGCATTTGCGTAAAGATATGTTCTGTAAAGATATGGAGAAAAGGATCCTAGATGATTTTTAATCCCTAAATCGGAGGATATTTGGATCCAATTGGGAAACTGCTTTGAGATACTACCTAAAAGCCATGGCAATTATTATAGATTGAGAGTTTTGGATAATATTTAAAGCAGAGCAGAGCAGCATCAGAATATGAATTAAACTAAAGAAAAATATTTCAGCTTTAAGGGTTATCTTATCTTACAGGTATCACAAAATTATACAAAAGATAACGTATGCAAAAGAAAGAGTATTTTAATTTTATACAAGCCAATAAAAACCAGAAAAATATATACATACATATATAGGCAAAGATAACCCATAATGGAAGGAAGTACAGCATGTATGTAGTATATATAACCCACCAAATAGCCCGTTCTAACTAAATTCCATAACGAACTGATGATTACAGTAAATTCCGCCAAAGCCTATTGGGTAGGAAACCCTCTTCAAACCCTAGTATTAAAAGGCCATTAATAGTGCAAGCTAATTGCTGCAAGCCAATAATTGCTTTATTTTTAACCAACAATAAAACCCAATCATCAGTCATCCCCCGCTCTGTTGAACAATACCCAGAGCCCAAAGAGATTTTCCATATCACAGAAATATAATTGTAGAAACCGCAGAATGAATCACAAAATGAAAGAAAATTGCGAATCTAAAATGCAAGGCGACGTCACCAGGGAAACTTGTGCCAAACCACGCACGGAGCCAAGCCCCAAGAAATGGCGAGAATTACCCGCCCAAGTGGTATCCAGAGAGAGAGCGCGAGCTTACTTACCCGTTTACAACAGTTAACGGTACCAATATGGAGGTCAGGGCCTGGTAATTTACATTGCCATTACAACCAACAACATACAAAAACCCAGCGCCTAACGTAATGTAATAACGTAAGCGGCCGGCAAGAGAGCAAAAGCGCTTGGAAGAGAGAGGCGACAGAAACCAGCGCTGCGGCGTGCGCGAGCGAGACCAAACGTGAGAGCAAGCGATCATCAGCTGTGCGCTGGAGCAGCTGTTGGTTGGGGTCTGGTTGGGGTCTTATAAGAGCCATGGGGAGAGCACTTTACCGTTTATTTGTGGCGAGCGTCGCGTTTGAAGCGCACGTGTAAACGAAACAGTAGCGCAAAAGGGGCAGACGGGAGACCCAAAAAGAAATAACATAAAGCAAAATCGAAAAGAAAAAAAAAAGTATATAATGTACAGTGGCGTGCCTGACAAATACAAAAACAATTGAAATTAATTTACGCGCCGCTGCCCATCTGCATAAGTTCAATGAAGGAGGCAAAAGCAGAGTGAAACAAAACAGCGCAAACATACAGTGAGTGAGTCGGTCGTCCCCTCTCGTTTACACCGTCCCCCCTCCTGGTGAATGTCAGTCCGAAAAGGAAGAAAGTGCAACACAAAATCGAATTCAATTACACACAAAATACAAAATAAAAATAAAATAAAACCGCAAACGATTTAAAGAAGAATCCAAAAACAATTTCAAATCAAAGAAGAAAAGTTTTCTTGGGCTCAAGTTTTCTTCAATTTTCCCAGTGGAATGTTGTGTTTTCATTCATGAATTGCGTTCTGTGCCGATGCTTTTCCACTTGTCAATTGCTACGTCGCATTGTCTTGGTCCATATGCGCCGCCACTCGTATTCTGCGTCTTAGGGCGAACAATATTATTAGTAACTATAGCAACAGCAACAGCAACAAACTTTCGACAACAAAGACCAGCCAAAGCATCGAAACGAAACCAAACGAAAGAAAGAAAGAACTTTCCGGGCGCATCGCGTGTGTGAGCATCGTCATTTGGGAGCGCAGTCAACAGGTTCGTTAACATTACCCAACCTCTGACCCACTAACAAAAGAGTGAGGTGTGAGAATGTAGAAGAGTTGAAGCGAAAAAAAAGAGAGAGGGCGCACACATGAGAGTGTGTGCAGGAGAGTGAAAGAACGAAAGCATATGTACGTATGAGAGTGCACTCCTGTCAGGCCCGTATGACATTTACTGGTAGTTTGGTCAGAGGCCTGAAGAAAGCAGTGAAAACAGTGCAGACCTCAAAATAAACTGTTTCCAAGAAGAGTTCTTAAGGCACACCAGTCTCTACTCTTCCACGAAAAAGAGTAGCACTTGGTAGTAATTAAATAAAATTAGTGCTTTTCACCGCGAAAATAAACAATTAACTGAACGAAAGAATGTATGTACTGAGCCTAGTTAAAGTAAACTGAAACTAGTCTTCATATTCAGCTGGTTCGGCATGCAAATCAGCTGCTTTCTACAGTAAACTGCTTTCACTTGCAAAGTGCATTGCACAAAACAGCTGATTTCATAGCAATGCATTGCTAGGTGTTATATTTCACAAGCATTGTATTTTAATTACTAGATGCTAAACAATTTCAAACATAAGTCTCCGGCTTGTTTAATTTATTCAAAAATCCAATTAGTCATATTTTCTTACTCGCACAGTGAGCAGCTGCCTCTTACAGTGGAATGAATACTAAGTAAGTGCCATATGGCTATGCCTGCAATGCCTGCCTGCTGCACATGTGTTCTTTGGTCAATCGATCGAGGGGGAAAAAAAGCTTCCTTACTCTCTCTCTCTCTCTCTGCCACTCTGTCTCTCTCTCTGTCTCTCCCACTCTCACTCTTTTTTTTAGACAGAACTTGAAAATGTAGGCCACAGTGCTACAACTCGTACAATGGACATCGACTTGATGTGATAAAGTTATCTCTGATAAGTGGGAACGTTTCCAGTTATGTCATTCGATCTGGTGCTTCGCTTAACGTATTCATGACTCGCGGGCTGTTGGGACTTGTGCATGGAATTACAATTTAAAATTTGTTGCGGGAGTTGCAGGCGCACTTCCAGCAGTCACTGTGTTGTGGCATATGAGAACTCGCGGCATGCAAATCGTAGCTAATATGTATACAGCTTTGTGGCTTATCTAAAATGTGTTAGCAATTAGGCGCGGAAGCGGTTAAGATAATTATTTTTGACAGGGATGCCTTCTACTTCAGCTAATTATAGTGCCCACTTGTTTAAAATTTAAATAAAATGCAAATTAAGTTTGAGCTAAACTTGTTGCAGTATCTGCTAGCTCTATCGCTAAAGTAGCTTCAGCTTCATTTCCCCCCCTTTAAATTCCCACTCAAATCAACTTAATTTTCAGCAATTTTGTCTCATTACGTGATCTTGCATACCATACCTTTACGGATTGCAAATACAAATAAAAACAAATTGAGAACTAATATACAGAAACAGTATATATGTACATATGTACTCGCATCATATATCATATACAAACCGAATATAGCGGTCATTGCCTGAACTGATGGATCGACTACTCAATCAACAGTCGTGTAGTATACAAATGCGAAAAGGGAGAGAAGAGCAGAATAATATTTGCCTTTCAGAAAGCCAAACAAACAAGCAAACATTTTTGTGCCGGCTACTGCGACATTTCGTGGAAAGAGTTCTTTTGAGTCGTTCAGTTACAGCCACGCCCCCCCGCTTTTTACATAAACATATATGGATGGATGTGTAGCAATGCCCTGAACCGTACTGGACACGTGCTGACCCTGGACAATGTCACTTTTCCTTATCGCTAGCCAAATGTGATGCTTGGGGTCGAATTTCTCGTAGTACTCGTAGAAATATGTTTCTCAATTTTTTTTTTTAATGTGCTGTTTTTTTTTACCAGTACTATTATTATTTTTTTGTTGGGTTCTGAAGTTGTTTCATGTTCTCTCAAAGTTTCGTGACTTTAATGGAAATGGCAATCGGTTTTTTTTTCGTTTTTTTTTTTTGTTTCTTCTGTGAGTTTTATGTATTTGCATGTCAAAAAAAAAAAACAGCAGACAGCAGCGAATGAGTAATTTGCATTGACTGAGTGAGTTATGGGCAAGAACGTGTGTCTGGGACCTTTACCCAGCAACAACCTACCTTTGATAGTTCGTTGTTGAGAGTTTTGCCAAAAAATTTAAATTACGTTTACATGCAGCCAGTTGTTTCGGTTCGGTGCTTTTGAACTACTTTTGAAAGCAATTTACGAGGGTTTTTATTCGTTGCAAATTATATGTTACGAGTATTTGGGCTACATAAATCTTATAATGTCAGGGATATATTTTAATGATTCATATAACAGTTGCAAATCATTATAAAAGCTATATAAATCTGCCATCTACTTTGTATGATCTGCTTTAATACCATGGCTCAAAGATTATTAAATATATGTATACATATTCTCTATCCGTCTGAATCATATTCAAACTTCACTTAAAATACACCACATATCGAGCTACAGAGCGGAAAAACACCCTTAACTTCTATCAGATATTCCTATTCATCAAGTTTGCTTCAATAATTTATACAATAATTTCCATCAGAGTAAACAATCTTCGAAAGCAAAAGCATTCCTTACACGTAACATTCTCATTCATTCAGCATTCTTTCAGTTTCATATTCACATAAATACATACTCGTATGTATACCCGTTTCGGATATTTACATATTTAAATAATTATGTCATACGGCCAACGGCCACAGCCAACACGATAAATTGATCGGCAATTGTCGTGCCCTGCCCCAATCAATGGCAAAGACTCAATGAAACTGCACTCGAAATGCACTCGAAAGACAACTAGTTGAATCAAGAACATATTCGTACCAGACTTGATCTTGATTTGATTTTTTTTTTTGGCTAATTTTCGGTCTCTAAAGAAAATTATTTTTCAGTTTTTCGTGTTTTTTTTTCGCTTTTGGTTTATTTCTTGTAAACTGGTTTTCGCGGTCTTTGCCCACTTTTGAGTTTGACATTCTACTACCGAGGGGCAGCCGAGCCGCCAGACACCAAGCTCTTTACATCAAAGTCAATATCAGTTTACCAATCGAGGAGTTGTTTGGCAAACATCAACAACAACAAAAAAGATATCTATACTTGGCAAAAAAATAAAATACATACAAACGTGCACAGTGAGACACGCTGTAAAAAAAGATGTAAAACAACTTTTAAGCACTTTGTGGCGGCTATTTGCAGCGTTTTATGGACAGACTTATCGGCGGTATAGCCTAGATATTCTTTGGTTGGTTGAATGACATATCGAAGGCCAATTTTTGGTAATAAGTTTTTAACAAAAAGACTACCGGAGTTATGATATTTTATGCATGAATATTTCATATATTTCTTACACTATTTTGGAATAGTTTTCCCCTTTTTTCTTGTTCTTGTTTACTTTTCCATTAGCACCCAAAATTAATACATTTCTTACACTACTTTCAGATAATTTTCTTTTTTATGCTAAAACATTTTCAAACATATTTTTTTGTGCTCCAAAAATACTTAAATACTTTGAGTAAATATTTCTCGAACAAATTTCTGAGCCATCCCTTATAGTATTCCCAAGTTTTGTTTATTTAACTTGTTTGAACGTAAGCCTCGAACCTGACCTATGTCAAGGTTTTGACAAATTAACAGACCTTAGCTAATCGAACAACAAACAATCGAATATCTATCTCAATCCTAATTAATATTCAACAGCCAAATTGACAAATATTTACCTTATTTATATTGAAACGCTTATGGGTTTATATAGAATTAATTCCAGAAATGATCGAAGTAAGAATTTAAGCCACGAATTTCACTATATTTGCATAGTGTCCAGTCATTCAATAATCACAAAAAAGAAACCCTAAAATATGACAAAGCAGAAATACATATTGAGTTTTGAGTTGAGTTGAGTTTTGGTTACAGGGAGAGATTGTTTTTGGGTAGTCGGCTGATAAATGATTCCCGATAGACCAAACACAGTCTGCGCATAAATTACATAAAGAACCAAAGAGGAATTCTTTCTAGATAAGAGATCTACTGACTGAAAGTCCGTTGGGCTGTTGGCAGTCCATCAGAATGGAAAAGGCTTGAAAGTGTACACATAATGGTGTCTGTCCATCAGATGGAAAGTCTATTAAATATTGTCTGTCCATCAGACTGAAAGTACAGTGATGGGTGTCTGTCCCTGGTGTCTGGTTGAAATTCCACAAAATATTGTGCACAGACTTATATAATTAAAACAAAAACATTTTCTGCATAATCGTATGCACATTACTCACAGAATTCTCACATTATAATAACTTTCTTTGTTCGTATGAAACAAAGCAGTCATTTATGTGTACAATGATTAAATGACGCATCTGTCGCAGCAGAGAGATTGTATGCATGTACAGATGTATGTAGTTTCAATAGAGTGTCCCGAGCTCTAAATTGTGAAATCTAAACGAGAGAACGCCCACAAAAATAAGTATGTACAATTCGCCAACTATTTTTGTTTTGCTTTTGAAAGAAAATAACACCCCACCTAACGAGCGGCAACAGATCGTTAGGGTTTCTGACTATTATTATTATCGTAAGGCTGGATAATAATCTGGGAAATGGAATGATTGCTTATAGCTGCATATTGGGGTGAGGAAAATTGCACAATAATTTATGGGGTGAGAGATGATATGTGAAGTCCGTCACTTGGCTGGCTGTTGATCTTTGGAACTCCACAAATGAAATAAAAATGTGGGAAGACATCGGATGATATACATATATGTACATATAAATGAAATGAATGAGAGATTAATGGGTTGGACTTTAGAGGGAAATTGGGAAGGTTAAGCACCTGCAATTTACTTACTAACTATTTAATAAATAAAATAAAATAAAATAAATAAATAAGATTAAAGATTTAAAGTTCATGACTTTTCATGACCTTTTTCTTTTCTTTGCTTTTTCCAGAGCTATAGAACCTCTCCCGAAGAACCACTTAAATATGACACTCTTGCCAGATATCAAACCCTCGGATGCCGCCTGCTGTGGCGGTGGGGCAAGCAGTGATGCCAGCAGCACCTCCGGTGCCAGCAGTCACAAGAGACACCACCAGGGCAAACATCACGACAGTGGCTGTCTGGGCATTAATTGCTGCACCACAGCCGCCAGCTCGGAGCTGTCCATCGATGAGACATCGTCCACATCGTCCCGGGGTTCGGATGCCCTGGCAGCCAAGTTGAACAACAATTTGAATGTCTTCCAGAGGCCCAACTATCTTGAGGGCATGTCGCATGCCAATTTCGATCCTTGCGAGCCAGTCAATATTGAGTTTTCCGATGTGCGATATCAAGTGAAAAAGTTCTCATTTCCAGAACGAAAATTTGGTGAGTAATCATTATGGGGGATATATGTATGTATGCGGAAGAGAATTACTCATTATGGTCTTATGTATTTGCAGTCACCAAGGAAATCCTTCATGGTCTGAATGGTAGTTTTCGTGCTGGGGAACTGACAGCCATCATGGGTCCCTCGGGTGCGGGCAAGAGCACCCTGTTAAATGTCATGTCTGGCTTCTGGTGAGTGTTTTCCCCCTCTCGTCCTCGCCCTCGCACTCGCACTTGAACTTGAAAATTCAATTTTCTTACTGCCCGCTACTCTGCGCTGTGTCTGATGTATCGCTGAATATGCAATCAGGTTTCAGTCGATTTAATTACATGTTGCTCGCATCGTACGAGTAAAACGAATATAAAGCGCAGACGCTGCCATTCGTTCGTTCCATCAATCAACACATTGTTCAGATGTCAGCAATGCCGAGCAAATTGCTCTTGGTTCTATGGCACGATTGATTATGAATATGTATATATATATATATATATATATATGTATATGGCAATAGGATATACAGAAGGGGCGGCATTTTAAGTGGTGCCTAATGGCCTGACAATTAATTCAAGTTGCAGATGAAAAGTACTTCAATTTAAATAGTTACTTGAGAAAAAAAAAGATACGAGATTGTTGTCTGTGGTCTGAGAGTATCGGGATATACTACCTTAGTTCCACTAGGTCACACCTGCAATTTCCCATAAGCGTAGGGACACATGCGGGACTATAAGTATACTTTACTCTACCTCTCTCTGCTCTATTTTCATGATCTACGCTTCTCAAAATTATTCACAATCTTTAGTTTATTTAAGGCATTAAGCTTGGCCTCCCATCCCGGACATAATCTCATTACTTCCTCTCTCTCTCTCGCTCTCTGACAAAACAGTTCAAGAGCCCATTGTATAAGTAGAACTTTAGACCCGATCCCAGTGCAGTGGGGTGAGTGATTCATTCCTTGTCCGTTGAATGCGACCCTCCGCTGACGCAGCTGAAAGGAAATCTGAATGTAATCTCTCTCTACATTTTTGATGGCCAAATGACAGCTATTACAGCATTTACCATTTTGAGCTATATAATTATTAAGTAAAAACGATGCACGTGTCGAAAGGGAAATCGCACAAATCAAATCTCTGTTGTGGGTAATGTCTGTAATTACGCGTAGTCTGTATCATAATTAAATGAATGTGCCAAAAGAGGCACCGCCAGAGGCAAGCCGAGGCGTTACCACAGCTTTTCATTGCTAAACGTTATCGGTCAGTAAACTATGAACTTGATATATGTATGTACATTTAATTTAAGTTCGGTTTTTGTCGATTTCAGAGTAGTGCCTCCGCCTCTGTCCCCAGACATGTGCGGAGATATTTATTTTTATTGTTTCTTTTTTGTGGATTTTTTTTTTTGTTTTGAAGGCTTGTGAACTCGTGAGCTCGTTAACATTATAATAATTATTTTAATTGCTTGTACTCGTTTATTTGCTGATTTTAATTTGTGATTTCTTCCAATCATTTCTCTGCCAGCGCCACTGGTGTGTCGGGCAATATTCGAGTTAATGGCAAGCCCATGGCGCCCAGCTCTGACAGATTCCGTCAAATGTTGTGCTACATTCATCAGGACGATCTGTTGCGTCCCCAGTTAATGGTGGGCGAAATAATGCTCCTAGCTGCACATCTTAAGCTGGGTTTTAAGGTCAGCAAGGCCTACAAATTGGATTTGGTAAGTGATCTTGGTAGAAATCTCCAACCAAATGTTATCTAACAGATAGTTTTGCACATCTTTTTTTTATTTTGTTCTTAGATTAAGCACATCTTATCGCTGCTGGGCATGGAGCATCGGTATAATGTGCATACGGCAAAGCTTTCGGGTGGCCAGAAGAAACGTCTCGCCATTGCCCTGGAGCTGATAAGTAATCCTCCAGTACTCTATCTGGATGAGCCAACGACGTGAGTACAAGTACAAGTACTATATATAGTAAATACGGATACATCTATGTAATTCGAGTAGCCATGATAGTGATCGTCATCTCATGCAGCACGGATGATGATACTCTGTACTGATACTGAAGTTTCCTATATAAACGGAAATTAAACACAACAACAGCAAAATATAAAATATAAAATCCATCCAATGCCTGACCCACAAGTCAAGTTTGTCTGTATATTGCTACTGGCTTATCTGTTTTCTATATATATATTATTTATATTCTATATAGTTATTTAGTTTTTGCTTTGATCGATTGGGTTCATTGAGCAGGAGCCAACGTTTAAGCTGTTTAATTATTTAGAACCAATTGCTGAATTTATCTAAAGTCGACTGGGTTTATCAATCATTTAATTATTGCATTAACTGACAGTTAAGTCCACAATTAATAGTTTGTTTGACGGCGCGACTATCAATTGAGTTGTTCAGTAAATACAGAAAAAAAATGTATTAAATTAAAAATTTTAATACAATTTGATTGGAATAATTAAAAGCAAGAATGGTAAACTCATTGAATATCAAATTTCTCAATCGTATTTTCTATTCATTTATTTCCAAAAATCTTTCTCAGAGCAGAGTCCAACAGTCGAGCCAGACTCTAGATCCGGGTTCACCCCCAGGCAGCAAGAATCAAGTGACTTTTTTTTTTTTTAATTGTCCAATTGAAGCTATTTTTGTAGCGAGCTGTTGCCACAGTCCCTCTGGGGACACAAACTATTTTTAGCCTTACCCCCCGGCGTCTAGACACAGACTTAGTCCAATTAATTCTAACTTTTAATGTACTCCAATGACTCTACAGATTTTCGTTCCCTTTTGGGGAATCATTCCCCCTGCAAGGGAACGGAAAACTTTGAACTGCAAAATCGATGTCGATTTTCATAATGAAAATTGCTGTGGCAAGCAATCAGATTTCCGTAATACAACTACCACGGGTACTTGTAATATAGTGCACAGATCTTATCGACTTGTTATTGTATATAAATCATCAGCTAAAGGGCAGACTCTGTGTAACATTTTATCGTTAATGGCTTCCACATTACGGGGAGGGACCAGTTTTAATCGATACACAGAGCCGGAGAGCCACAGAGTCACAGATAGATATTATATTGTGTCGCTTGATGCGGATCAATAAATTATATTGCAAGTACACCTCCTCCAAATGCCTCAAACCTTTGTAATGCCAATCAGGCCGACTTGCCGCTCGACTTGCAATGGATAATGGGCTTAGGGTACAAAAGCCAAAACGAGTTTTATATGTACTTTCATACAATCAAGTTCAAACAACAATCTCTCATAAAAGTTAGAAATTGTCAAATTTCTTAGTGTTATTCTTTGGGCTTTAGGGGTTCGGTTCTCTCTCCATCTATCTCCTGGCCATAATGCGGCTTAATGAGTTACCAAGTTGCCAATTTGTTGTCATAGGTTAGGTGAACAGCCATTAAATGCCGTTGAGTCACACCATACTTAAAGTGTAATTTGTTTTCTCTCATTTTTAGTGGTCTGGACAGCTCTTCGTGCAGTTCTTGCGTGGCGCTGCTGAAGAAACTCGCCTCCCAGGGCCACACCATTGTTTGCACCATTCATCAGCCTAGTGCTTTGATATTTGAGATGTTTGACAAGCTCTATACGGTGGTCGATGGTCACTGCATGTACCAGGGACCAGTGCGAGAGCTGGTGCCATTCCTTGCCGAACAGCAGCTCGTCTGTCCCAGCTATCACAATCCAGCTGATTATCGTAAGTGTAGAGATCTCCCCAATCTATATAGATCTGCCAAATCTATATAGATCTGCCCAATCTGTATGCATATATTATATATTGAACTCATTTGTATGTTGTATCCAGTGCTGGAGGTGGCCGTCGGCGAGCATCAACGTGATCTGAATGAATTGATCCATGCGGCGAATAAAAAGTATTACGAGGATGTGGATCGATATCGTTATATGAACAGTGCGGAGGTCTCACGGCTCATGGCAAAAATATCAGGTAAGAGTTTTTTTTATATAACTTTTTTGAGGAGAACTATTGGAGTTACACTTTGAATTTACAAATAGATTTCTATATATAGTAGACGTGTTTTTTTGGAGACTTTTCCTATGACTTGAATAGAGCATTACCAAATTATTTTGTGTTTGGGAACTTTTAGTTAAATTTGACAGTCGGAAATTAAGTTAAAGATCTCGTGTGAGGCTTGTAATGCTATATGACATAAAGGCCTTTAATGGTCTATAAAAAACCTTTAACTGGTTTAGCTGGCATGATTCTGAGGCACACTTTGCTGTTCTCGTTTTATACAGTCGTCGGTACAGTCGCTGATTCACACACAGCGAGTGCCCCCGAACTTCTTGGCTCACTCGCTGCAGGTACTCGTTGGCACTAAGCAAGTAGTAGCTCCTGAAAGTATAACCAATCTTTATAAATATCCTCAATTTAGATAGTTTTCCCATAGCAAAAGTCTATACGTAGAATCTAACATAATGTTTCTCCAGCAAGTCTATACGTAGAATCTAACATAATGTTTCTCCAGCACATTTAACGTTGATTTCTTTCAAAAGTTAGCTCTATGAAAAGTACATTTTCTGCTTAAGTATGATCTTTGCTAGATCTCTTTCAGTCTTAACTTTCTCTAATCCCCTTGGGGTTTTCTCCACCTTAATTACAGACAACATTGGCGGCAAAGAGCTGAGCACTTCGAGTCAAATGTTGCCAACAGTTGCGCTGGCGCAATTCTCCAGCTACGACTATGTAAAACCGGCACAGCAGGAACTGGCGCTGGAGGAGATCAAGGCACTCAATGGCTCCACCGAGTTGGAGTTGGTGGATCAAGAGCAATCGGAGAATCAGCAACAGCAACAGCAGCAGCAGCAGCAGCAGCCGCTGCCACTCGCCAATGTCAAAGCAACCGTCAAAGAGCTTGCCAAGCCAACGAATGCCACCAGCTCGGCCTCGTTCCTCATGCAATATATGCTCCTGATGCAACGCATCTTGATCTGTGCCCGTCGCAGCTACGTGAGTTATACTCGTACTTGAATGCATAAATGAAAATAAATTATATAAAATATGGATAGCCATTACCTTTTTTAAGCCGGTTTTAGGGCTTGGCCTGGATAGCGCCTGTCACTTTGATTTGGTAATTTGTCTCTCGCTCTCTGGTAATTTGTCCTCGAAATTTTAAGTAAAATCCAGTTCGGAACTTGGTTTCATTTTCATTTTTCTAACTAAACTGCCTTAATGTCTGGTTTTTACTTTTTATCTAGTTTTTTTGTGGCTTTTTTTTGCGGTGGTTATTATTGTTGCTTTACTTTATAATTTCATTTCATTTAATTGTCATTTGTCTTGCTTCCATTTTAATTTATTGCCAAAGCAAAGGTGTTTTTTTTTCGGTAGCTTGGCTGCGCTTTCGCATTTTGGCACAAAAAAAATAAAACACAAAAAATAAGATTTATGTGTGGCTTTAATGTCTGCGGTTTCAAGTGAAATAATGCATAGATTTAATTGCTTGTACTAGGAGATAATTGCTGAAGGCTCTTCATGGCCTTATGTTCATAATAATAATTATAATTTTTTTTTTGCGTTATGCGCGCACATTAAGAGAATATAAAAGTGTGGTTTAAGTGTAATTTATTTAATTTTTTTTTTGCTTTTTAAAGCTATTTTTGAGGCTTTACGAAATTGCTAAAAATATGCATATCAGTTCTAAGAGTAAATTCAGGTATACCTATAGAATACCTTCCAGAAATGAGCTTGAAATATTCCCCTTAGCTTGCCAAAAATATCTACAAAAATATTTGTTCAACTCTAATGAAACTCTTGAGAGTTTATTCCCCAGGAAACTATTCAGCAGATGCTCTCACATCGCAATTCATCTGAATAAATCTCATGAAATCAAAAGCGCTATCACTATACTTAATTAGATTTTATTTACCCATTTAGATGTCACAGTTTAGAGCTCGTTTAGTTTTATTTCTTTGCTTATTTGCGCTTATTGGTTGGCAGGTGCGATAAATATTGAGTGAGGGCAAAAGTTTAAATATTTACCATGGCAAATGAATCAATTACCGCGTGCTAGGCGGCATCGGCATCGGCATCGCGGCATTGGCTAAAAAGCAATTCCCACAAGATTGATGGATGACGTTTATCATCTGAATGTGAGCAATTAGCACATGACATTTGCTTTAAATGTGAAATTGTTTAATGAATAATTAGCATTAGCATCCGGCCATAATTTTGTTGCTGCCCTGCAGCTGCCCCGCCAACGCTGCACAAAATGATTAATATGGATTTGCATACACTGCAATTGCGTTTGAGTGGAGGTTTTAGCACCTTGCCAATTTGCTATTGACTTGTCAAACACCCCGACCAACGATCGAGAATTTCTCATGTTATCCAAGCAGCAGAGAACCACTCAACCGGGCCATAAATTCAACGAGCTATTCCACAGCTCTAACCTTCACATAGATTTCGGTTTTTTAGCGTGTTCTAATGGCCAACATCACTGGGAGTGCACGAGTGCTTGTTTGGGTACCCAGTGCTGTGCAGTTCGAGATGGATATGGGCATATTGTGTTGCTGGGGACGTTGACCCCAAAATTGTTATGCGATACCAGACGGAAACGAAGGGCACCCAGCTGAGTATTCTTGGTGTAACAGGCAAAAGAAAAGCTATAAGAGCTAGCTTAAGAAATTTCTTATACGAAAGGCAATTAAATAAGAAGATCAATTATAATTCTTAATATATCATAGCGTCTATCATGGGTGCTTATATCTAGTCAATGTGATTTTTCGACTGCACAAATGAGCATAAGGAACCTGTTCCCAAGTATCATTTAGTCGGTCTAACTAAACTCTAATGTTCTTATTTTTATTTTCTGAATTTTTGTGTATCTACTGCCCCCACATGAATGTATCTAATGTACGTACCGCTTTGTATCTTTTTCAGTTTCTGCTGCTGGCCCGGATCTTTTCGCACATTTTCATTGGCGTTGTCTTTGGCTATCTCTACCTGAATGTGGGCAACAATGCACAGAGCGTGCTGGGCAATTACGTCTATCTGTACGGTTCGACACTGCTCTTGGTCTACACGGGCAAAATGGCGGTGGTCTTGACATGTAAGTAGCGGGGATTGTGTATGCTCCATGGTGCTTGGGGGTCTGTTCAAGTATTTCAAGTGTTTCAGAGGCAGCCACTGGTTTGCAGCCTTAGCCTCCGCCTCAGACAGAGACTATCACAATTTTGGCCAACATTTCCCATTCAATAATAATCTTGTGGCCAACAAATTTTGCAAAAATTTGTCCCCAAATTTGGTCAAAAGTGCAGCTGCTGCGGCTGCTGCTGCTGCTGCTGTTTGGGCTGTTCACTGGTTGGTCTTGTGCAATGGCTATTTATCTTGGCCACCTTTGGCTTTGTCTTTCTAGTTGTTGTTTCTTGGCCATTCTGTGTGTACACTGTCAACTGTCTTATTTTTGTGTGTATTTATTAATTATATTTTTTCGGAATGCGAATTGGCCAACACTCCGAACACGAATACATTTGTCTTAACATTTTGCACAAACGTTTTGCCGAATTTTAATTGGCAAAAAGAGCAAAGATTAGCGGACAAGATAGTGGATCATTGTCGGCTTAAGTCTGTAGATCAATGTTAGAAGATATGACTAATTTTATCGCTTATTCGAAAGAATTGGCAAAATTGAAGAACTTATGAATAAACATATAGATATACGAATAATATTGAAATCAACGGGGAGGGGAAGTGCGGAGTGGTACTTCAACTTGGGAACAGGAAAATAATTATCTAAAATGAATATCATACAATTTATAAGGGATTAATATATCAAATTAATTTGTATAAATATTCAGTAAAAAAAACGCAAAAAGCGAAAAGCGGCAACTGGTTTCGCAATACTAGTAGAGAATTGGCAAACAAATCATTAAACTTTAAAGTCTATTAAAATTGGACATAAGGAAATTGAATAGAAGCTTAAAAAAAAATTGTAGAATGCATTAGGACTGACGCTTAAAATCCTAAAAGATTTTATGACATTTTTCTTAGGGAAATCTTAAGGGGAATATTTCCCAAAATTTAAATCCCCCAAATAGGTAATTTCATATGCATATTTTTCTGCACTCCCTTTATTAACCTACGATTATATTCCACTCAGAATTCACACATTAACCTCCTGCACAAGGTCGCAGCTTCGATCAGCTGAAATGTCTAAAAGTCGAACCACTTTTTCATTTATAATTTCCATGTAAATTACCCCCCCAAAATGAGTTTCTCACCTTAAAAAAATTCGAAAAAAAGGTAATCCTGAAGCCTAAAAAGTAAATAATCATAAAGTACCCGACGATAAGCGTATGGACAAGCGACACGAGCTTGGTGGGGGGACGGGGCTATGGCTATTGTATAACAAAACCGGTATATGAACGATTCTCAACGCATTTTAAAAATAAAAAATGAGTCCATGCCAGGGATTGGGGGATCTCTTAAGAGAGAGAGAGATAAAAGGGATCAGGGGAATGGGATGGATACGAGTTAAGATCTTTACCGGTTTCGGTTTACTGACCTGACCTACATAGGTACATACAGAAATAAACATATATAAAAAGGTCTTCGTGCTCATATCGAATTGAATAAAAATTTCTTAATTAATGTTTATTTGCAGTTCCGCTGGAAATTGACATGCTGACAAGGGAGCACTTTAACCGCTGGTATAAGCTCGGTCCGTACTTCCTATCGCTGATCTCCTTCGAGATACCCTTCCAGGTAGGTTATTCCCACCACCCGCATCATTCACCATGCTGGACATCATCAATCATTATTTAATATTTAACAATCATAGATGGTGGTGGTGGGCTTTTGTTTAATGAATTGCTGGTTCGGTCATTAAGTCAAATTAGCGACGTAAAATCGCTGATTTTCAGGTTTATTTTGCGTGACAGACTCGCGTATGTGAACCCCACGGACAATTTCGCTAGCAGCAATTCCACCGAAACAATTGTTCGTACGGCGAGCGAGTGAAATTTCCACGCTCTGTTGTTTCGCCTTTGAAAGGCATTGCTTTCGTTATACTTAATGGTTTGCTGATTGCAATTGCTTTTACTCGAACGAGAGAATCTTGAGAATCGCTGGAGAACGAGTAATCAAAGCATTCTCAATTGGTTCTGATCAAGCAAGCAAATTTCTAACAAGCAATAGTTAAGGCATGCTTAACAAATTACTAGATGGCAAGAGAAGATTTATTTAACTGGCTAAGCCAGGCTTTTCTGACATGAAGATTCTTTCGAATCAATTCTTAGAGGCTGAAAGTAAAGAAAGAGAGTTAAAAAATACATCTGTGCATGATATATCATCTGAATTAAAAGCTACATCATTTCTCTCCTTATTCACTTACTTTAACCTTTACGTACGTATTTTGATATCCTACAGAGCCTCTGCACCGCCCTGTACATCATCATCAGCGTACATTTGACGGGCAACGATAGCGTCGAGTCTTTTCGCATTTACTACTTTATGCTGCTGGGAATAATGGCTTCGTTGAGTGCCCAGGCCTGGGGCTTCTTCGTGGGAGCCACCATGCCAACAAAGGTGGGTTAATCACAGCTTAGCATTCACCAAAAACTAAAAGTTAATTGATGTTTTATCCTTAATGCCATAGCTTGCCGTGTTTCTGGGACCCATATTGGCGGTGATGTTCTCCGTGTTTGGCTTCTGTACGCGATACATTGACATTACACCGCTGTTCCGTTGGATGTGGCATCTGAGCTATTTCCGGGCCGGATTCCATGGTGCTTTGAATGCCATCTATGGGATGGATCGCGCTTTCCTCGAGTGTCCAGAGAACACGATGTACTGTCATTTTCGGAGTCCCAAAGTGTTTCTCAAGTACATGATGATCTCGGACGTGCACATGTCCGACTGTCTGCTGCTGATGGGCATTGTGATCGGTGTGATGCATGTCCTGACCATCCTCACGCTCTGGCACAAGCTGAACAAACGATAGGAGCTAGGTCCTACACATACTATGTTTAAATCGCCTACGTGTACGTTCTTAAGTCTACGTTTTATTCCTTATGTACATAATTGGGTGTGTCTATCAACAAACTCTCTGTTTTTAATTCCCTGTATCTTTAGTTAAGTCTTTAATTTACATAATACCTATTTCGTCAGCGTTTTCTTGGCTCATTTTTATATCGATCGACCCAATCGTTCATGTTGAAGCTAGCTTAGTTATTTATTTAAATATTCATTGATACAAGAAGGCTTTAGGGTAGCTTATTCCAGTTTAAGTGCTGAATACCAAAAAAAAACAAAAACAAATCCACAAAAATTACCCATAAACAATATCAATCGCCCAGTTTCCATTTTAGCAATCAAAACTTGCCATTTTCCATACGAAAAACCCAAAACTCATCCAACGAGCTGGGACTCCCTCCTCGTACAGGGATCCGGGCTATGCCAAATCTTGAATATCATCATCTAAGCTCGTAAGGTTCCGGCACAACAAAGATACATTTGTGATCCACATTTTTGTTTTGTCTCTTTAGTGTTTATGTAGCTTTAGTTTTACTCCTAAGTTCGAATTTTATGTTTAAAACGGCTGATGATGATCGAAATTTCTTATGTCTTATGTGTATAGCAAATCTTTTAGATTATATTTTGATTTGTTTTAGTTTCTTAAATAAAAAAATTTTGGTAAATTTGATATATAATTTTAAATGCTTTTCATTTGGATTTTGATTTTGTTATTTTGGGAATATAAAAGAATGAGGAGACCCTATAAAGGTGTTGCTTTGAAGCAGGTTCCTATGCATGAAATATTGTTCCTACGGAAGGAAATTTGTGAGTACAAAAGGAGGAAACTATATGTGAATCGATGAAACGGAGTGTAATATTTAAGCCATTAACAAATGACAGAGAATGATTATTATATACAGGAATATCAGAATGGAAAACATTTATCTCTATTCTGATTAAGCTTACTTCAACAAGAAACTTTTCTTTTGATAAATGTTTTCGAAAATATATTTTTACATGGATTTATAATGAGCAAAAATATTTCCAGCAAATATAGTAGATCAAAGAACTGAAGAACAAAAACACATACAGGTGTCCAAGTCAAAATGAAAAATCAAAATTGTTGTCTACAAATATTTACACCAAAAAACAAACTATATCAATCCTATATATACATATATATACTTAAGGCTATAACCCTTACGCATATCAAAAAAGAGTTTCGTTATTTAAGAGGCTAATAAACTAAATAAAACCATTTTATTAGTAGCAAAATGTAAATGCCAAAGAAAATAAGTTAAATACAATACATTGATGGATGCGATGAGGGAGTACTATATCCCATAGATAATTCCCCAATCAGGTAAATGCTTAAAGACTAAACACCTAAAAAATATATATATATGAATATATATTAGTGATTTAATGGGGATTGCACAGATCCCGCTCTACATGGTGGACATGCGTGCATATCGAATGATCTGGTCATGATTGAGCGGCGCATCGGTGGAGAGCTGAACGCGCTGCCATTGCCGGGATTCGTTGGATTTGCGTATGGCCTCCACAACGGCCTGCACGTAGAGGCCATCCTCGAAGGTGGCCGCCGTGGAGACGGGCGCCTTTACCCACGAGGATTCTTTGCTGCCAAAGGCTTCTTTGAGGGCGCCAACCATCTTGCACAGACCCTTGATGTAGGGACGTGGCAGCAGCGAGTTGTTCGTGGCGAAATGCAGATCCTGTACATCCACATAGACAGCCTCCTCCTTGGGCTGGCCCTCCTTCAGCACGAAGAGATCTCCGCCGCGCACCACGAGATGTCCCTTGCTGCCATAGACGAGCACCTCCTGTGAGAAGGCCTTGGCCGGCACCGTGTGACTGTGCAGGGCCACCGTGACGAGGGTGCCGCTGGCCAGCTCCATTTGAAAATTGCAAAAGTCCGGGGCCGTTATCTGCCGAATGCCATTGATGGCCGGCGTCGTCTTGGTGTAGGCTCTGAGAACGCCGTGCACTCGCACCGCCTGCTGCTGCAGCAGAAAGGTAACCAGATCCACGACGCTGCCCACCAGATTGAGGGCTCCACCGCCCATCTGGGCATCGCACATCCAGTTGTACTTCTCCGGGAAGAGCGTGCCCATCTGGACGCGCACATCCATCAGCACCACCTCGGGCAGCGGTCCAATCAGCTCCTCCTGCAGGCAGCGTCGCATGTGCGTGAAGGCCGGCAGAAAGCGCAGCGGATGATTCACCAGCGATATCAGAGTGGGATAGTATTGCGAGGCTCGCACCATTTTCAGAGCATCCTGCTGATGCAGTCCCGCGGGCTTGTCGCACACCACGTGCTTGCCAATGCCCAGAGCCTTCACAGAGATCTCCGCATGCAGGAACGGCTGGCACACGATGAACACCAGGTCCACATCCTTGCGCAGCAGAACGTCATCGATGACGTTCGTGTGGAACGAGACATTTTGTGCGGTGGCCGTCTCTTTGGCTTCTTTTAGGGTGCGCCCCCAGATGGCACGCACCTCGAAGCCCTTCTCGCGCAGCAGGGGCACCAGCACATTGGCTATTTCGCCCGTTCCAAACACACCCACGCCCGGCAGCATATCACAGCTGCGATTTTAAGAAAAAACTAAAAAACTTGAAAATCAAAACAAATTCAGCAGGACCAGTGTGACCGCGGATTTATCGAGCAAATATACCGACTGACCGTCAGAAATATACTAAAATACGGTATGTATTTTGTAAAAACAAAACCGTAAATGTACTGGCGGACACGACAAGATGCCTTAATATTCCTCGATTTTGATATTCGGTTTAAAATTACTGGCCAGTTAGCCTTCTCAGCCCTTAACAAATAATTTAATCCGATTCATCAATAAATATAGTACAAGATTGGCTAACTTTCAGAACTCCATTTTATTGGATTGTTTACATTATAAGGTTCAAACAAAAACGGCAAAAGGATAAAAAGTAAGTGTGAACTCCGGACACACTCCATCATTGTTGCTGGTCAACAAAGATACTGCACTATATGCGCTTAACAGCACTGAAATGTGCGCCTTACAGCACACTGTCAACTGCGCTGCTGTTGGCTGCAATACAGCTTTTGTCAGTGAGCAGGCGGCTTTTTAAATTTGATTTTGAATTTTCTGAAAATGTAGGCCTTAGCCTTGACTATTCAAAATTAAAACTTTCAAAAAGATCAAAACCAAGTAAAATGGCTACAAATACATTGGCCCAGTGGCTTGTGTCCTGTGTCGTGGGTGTGGTGACGGTCACGAATGTGCTGCGCCACTGCCATGTCGCTAACGATAAGGAGACGGCGCACAGGACTGTCAGCATCGCAAACTCGGCGGAAATCGACAGCTCCGCCCTGGCAAACGAAGAGGAGTCAGCGTCGCAGCGGTTTGCTGGCCAACCAGTGACGGCAGCAATCGACCACTCGGACATGATCGAACCTCCCGCTCTCGGCTCGGAAACGGTCAATGCGGCTCTGCAGCGTTTGTTCAGCAGCAAAGAGATTGGGAACCTGGATCGTAGCAGTGTCTACATCGATGCCATGCACAATAATGCCAACAAACAGGAGTATACACTCGGCTCGGAGGCACTCAATCGCATACTGGAGGGGCTCCAGGCACCATCGGGTGCGACTGGTGGTTCCAGCAAGCAGTTGTCCTTTGAACCGCCCGCAAATGTTTAAACTACAAGATGAAGAATTCAAATAAATTAAAGTTTCACACCACACACGACACACGATCTTCGTTGGGTGGGGGGGTTCCCCCCTTTCAGAAGCTCCCTTCAGACGACATTTCCGCACTCCGCTTTGAGCCATATGGGTGTTATTCCAGCTGTCAAAGCAGCCGGCATGCGGAAAATCATTTTGCAGCTTATTACCAGCAGGGAGGAAGTGAAGGACTTACTGGCGACTGGGCTTATGCCACGCCTCGACGCACATATTTGTGTATGTATATATGGGGGCGGCGGCGTCTGTGAGGTGGATATGTCAGCAGCAGGATATAATGCAAGCATTGGCAAGCCATGGCAAACAAATGTCACAGTCGACGCATTGCCCTGTCATATGGTAACCCAATTAGTGTAATTTGGTTTAAGGCAGCTGCCGCCTGTCGACTGCCATCTCCTCCCCCGCATATGTGGGGGCGTGTGTGTGTTTTTGGTGTTGTGTTGCTTGCGGAGCTTTAATTAAACCACACAAAGTGCACAGCAGCACAGCTGGCAAACAATCAACTTTAAAGCAAACCCACTGGCCTCAGCAAACAGCTAATGAATGGACCACCCGACCCCACAGGCCATTCACTACCAAGTCATGAATGATATCAGTGCCCCAGCAAAAGTGGCAGTGTTAAAGCTGTTCAAGATTAAGTTAGCTAAGGGCGTTATTACGAAGCTTCCCCAAAGGGGCACATTAAATTATGCATCGATTCACTCAAGGGTATAGTAGAAATAGTCGGATTGCAGGAGGAGTTCATTTGAAGAGGCTGAAGGGGAATGGGGCAAGAGATGTATTGAATAATTACGGATATAATTTTTGCATCCAGGCGCGTAATCTTGGCACCTCTCGCATACAGATAATTCTCTTATATTGGGCCTTCTGGCTGAACTGATTCCACTGAAGCGCCTCGGAGCTAGCCATCCGCTTGAGCTCTCCGAAGGGAAACACCCCACACAGAGCTGCATGGGCCTGTGGTAGCCAGCCTCATTTCCAGGTCTCCGACTCTGCCCATAGGTGCGAAACTTTTGCAGATTTGGCATTTCGGCGTCTAACTGCGCTATGCGGTTGTATATTCGGTTGATTCTCTAGCTGCTGTTTCTTGTTTTTAATGTTTTTGTTACAAGCTTTTCATTTATTTTATGGATTGAAATAACATTTGGCTGCTGGACTTAAACTGGAACGGACGTCCCAGTACCCAATGCAAATATCTGCGACTTGTCTTTGGTTCTTCTAGGCGCTTGAACTAAGCTTTGGATTCATCAGTTTTAAAGCCTGCAGCCCTTGCAGCTTCGCAAACGTGAATGCCTCCTGGCAGAAGCTTGAGATGCTTCGAAAAGACATCTTGGTCCTTAAACAATTTGCCGCACTGGCATCGAAACGGCTGCTTGAAATCAACATAGGAAATTTGCTGCCAATCCCTTCGAGCGATTTCCTGTAAGATTGTTTGATTTTACAATTAATAGTTGTTTAAATTAATATAGCATATATGATAGAATACAAGAATCGCAAATAAACAAAAAAATTGCGACAGCTAAATAAAATACAACAACAACAAATAGGGAAAGAAACCAATTAGAAGAACAAACGGTTTGAGGGTTCTAGAACAGGGGTCGGCACAGCCCAATCTATTGTAGAAAGGCTACTAAAATCTGCTACTATTTTATTTGAGAAACGCATATATTAATAATATAATATAATACTAAAATTAGAATATAATATTAATAATATAATATAATATAATAATACTAAGAATATTTGCTGACATAATTTCAATCAGCCATTAAAAGGGTGGAAGCACACACTCACACCAACACACACATTGACACGCGTCTGAACACAAGTACACACAAAAAGGGGGCGTCAAATTGTTATATAAATTTGTATGAATGTATGTATGATTAATTAAGATAAAACATGAGCTGGAGTATTTAAAAATAAAGAATAAAATAAAGTATGCACACAACATACATATGTATATGCCATGGACAAATTAAAAGCAACGCGAACATACATATGCACATACATACATACATATGTAAGAGTACATATGTATTCACATAAAATGACGCTGCTTCAGATGGGACATGAAAATGCGTCCAAATTAGTAAAAAAAAATACCACACACAAAATCCAGCCAAAAGAAACTAAGCTCAATGATTTCATGAAATATTGGTGAAGTAGATCGTGTTTAAACTTGCACACACACGCATGCATACATACATATTTACACTCATTTCAGAATAAATGAATGTCGAAGAAAGTAGACAAGGAAAGGAAACAGAACACCAAAAGGGAAGGGCACACTAAACTATTAATTGGTAATACTTTAAGTATGTTTAGTCACAATATTTAATGCACGTTTGTATAAAAAAATGAAACCGCATGCTATTCCATGTGCACGTGAATCACGCACAAATATGTTCAATCTGGATCAAATATGATATGATCTTATGCAAATATAAATAAGTAATTAAAGACTTCTTTCTCGCCTTACGGGAACATTTGTAAACATATCGGCTTGTTTGAATATTAAACACTTTGTAAGTAATCGGTGCTCTGCTCGACACGTCTGTGCGATTCGGGTTGCAAAATTGAAAGAGCGGACGAAACGGAAGCGGAAACGCAGATCAGAGACGCCCGTAAAACCATCGATGGCACAATTGATAGTACGATGGTATCGATGTTTCAGTGAAAAAGTATGAACGTGAAACCTCCAAGCACTAAATCAAGTACCAAAACGTGAAGGAAAGTGCGAGCGCGGGGACGCGACCATACCCGCCACAGTACGCTTATAGAATTTTAGAAAAAAAAAAAATTTTACATTTTTTAGCTACATCTGGTAAATCTACATCTACCATGTATATTTAAATCTAACATGTAGATTGTACAATGTACAGCTCCATTGAGTTTCGTTGTTCGTGCCGGGGGGGCGAGCACTAAAATAACTCTGGCTAATGACCGATCTGGTAGTTCGGCAGTCCCTTTTTTTTTTTTCCCCCCCCTTTCCTTTTTGGGGGGGGGCTGGAAAGGTGGAAACCAAATTTGGTTGCCCTTGCTTTTTTTGTTTTTTAGATTGCGCCACAAGACGCCGCGCGCCCCGCGGCGCCTGCCCCGGCTTTCTCACTGGGCTTTCCCCGCGTAACCACACCAACTATACCCCTTAGCATTGGTTCTGGGAATGGACAAAAATCCTAAAAGAATGATAATTACAATACAGATACATCACGTTTAAAAGCAACACAGAGAAGTATTTGCAATCAGATCAATCAATCTAGATTCTAGAAGACTGGCAATCTTAGTGCTCTTTGCTTATTGTACAAATATTTTGAAATTATTTTATAAAGAAAGATATAATAAAGACACCAATTGTCCTGCCTTTGTGGAAATGTTTACATGGAATTTACTAATATTCTGCTTTGTTAATGCTCCAATTTCGCTAGAGCTGTGGACTTAAAATTCCTAGTGCCAAGCAGCATAAATCAAACAGTTTTAAGAACACCCCCCCATACTTACAGCTGTCTCCAGCCAATTAAATTAAATCTCCAGTCATCTTGCAAGTCTCCAGATGTCCCACAAAACATATTCTTTAATTGAAAACTATATGTTAATGGGCCGGGTATATTGATTACGTTTGCTAAGCCAGGCTTAGCTTAAACGAGACTTGGGTGTCTGAGAACGCACGACTCTTGTCAGAGGGGGGCACCTTTTTGGCCAGACATTAATCACATTTAAGCCAGATTAATACTAAATGCATGGGCAAGACAAGACAAGACCAAAAACTGTCTGGAATTGTATGGAATTGCAAAGTACAACTGAACATTTAATAAGCCAAACAAGAGTCCTAGTCAGCGTCGACGCAGTTGTACGTGACCTCATCTTGTGGTGCTCCCGAGACTGGGACTAGGACTGGCACTGGGACTGAGACTGCGACTCGAATGAATCAGACCGCACATAGATCTCTGTCAGAGGCATTAGCATTAGCAATGAACAAGGACGAGGACGTTGCCACGCGGCGAGCACCAAAGATAGTTCATCAAAACTGACAAGCCCATTTCGCTGTAGAATGAGGAGTCCTGCTCCGCGTCCGCATCCTGCTCCTGGTCCGAAGCCAACTCTGAAATCCACGACATATAACAAAACTGCAAGGATACCCTCGACCACCCACTGGCATTGCCACCGAACACCGAGCAGCGAACACCGAGCACCGAGCACTGGCCCACAATCTCGATGGCCCCCGCATCAGACGGGGAACCACAGACAACAGATGAGAAATATTCATCAGCATTTACGTCACGCAGCGCGCAAAAGTCGCTGGGGAAAGGGGAGGAGTAGCCAGAGCCAGAGCCAGGGAGGCAGAGGCAGAAGCAAAGGCTGCTGGGATGAGCGAAATCAGGGGGGTTCGTTCCCTGGCCTGTCCTGTCCCCGGCTGTCAGTAGATTTATGTTGACATTTCAATGACAGTTGTGAAAATGCTTCCATTTCATGAGAATACGAACGAGTACGAGTATGGGTATGGGTATGGGTATGTGTGCGTGTCGTGGCATGGCGTTGCGTCGCTGTGGTCCTGTCTTCTCTTTCATCTTAAATTTGCGCAAATTGGTTTATCATGCGCTGATAGGCAAGACAGCCGCACAGCGCAACGCAGCACAGAAAAAAGAACAGAACAGCTTAAATTATTTCCAATCACGTATCACCCACGAAGGGGTCAGGAATGGGTTAGAGTCACGCTCCTTTCGCGCACTACATGTGAATTAATCATAAGTCACGCATTGCCCAGAAATTAGTGGGGGGGCGTACAATTCACGGGAGTAGTCGTAAAGCTGTTGTTAATATAATATCACTTATGGTAATGCATTCAACAGTTTATATTCACATAAACATAATAACACTAAAAACGGTTGCACAATCGAGGAAATGTTTCGTACTAAGAAATTACTCATTCGCTTGCTGCTTGAAGTCGTAAATGAATCGTAAATCAACTCATTCAAGCTGATGATATGTTCTTCTT